TTTGGTGTTATAGCCCTGCCTTCAAGGAGAAGCACATTATTACACCAATAGAAAAGAACGAGAATTTTGGGTTACACTTTCTAATTAAATATAAAACATTGGATGATAAGAACCAACTATAACACTAAGTGAAAACATATCAATATGTAAAGAAAATTTTCTTTTAGAACATTCACGTCCAGTTGCCTAACAGAACCTTTCAACCTTGACCATGACCTGGATGACTGAGAATCTTCATAGACATATCAATATGATTCCCCATGGTGTTTGTCTTTTGCAAAAATTATCTTGACTGCTTTATCAAGCATGTAATTACTCAGTAATTGTAACATGAGTCATTAATGCGAACAACATCCCAGTTTTATCATAGTTTTTCAGGATTTACACATTATGCAAACAACATAGCAGTAGTATAGATAAAAGGTACACACAGAACACATTGTTTTTCCTGTTAAGGTTATTTCTTTTTTATGTGTGTATAAAGGTCTGTAGGGGGAGGGGCTGTAGCTTTGATCCTCTGTGATCCTCTCCGCTGTGCTATATACCATGATTACATCCATCAGCCCGAGCTGTACAGGTCCTTTCATTACTCTTACCTATAGTATCGCCGCTTTCACTTTTATCCTACACTAACGAGGGTCTTATTAATTTCTAATCAAAGGATCCTGATTCACCGCAGGTCCATTGAGATAGTGTTATACACACGTATGTAGTGAACCAGGTCAACACATTTTAATGGTACATCGGAAGCCTTGATTAAAGGTCAAACAGTCTGAGAACATTTCATCTGAATCAGATGTGAGATTTTTTTTTTTTTTCAGAAAAAAAATGTGAAAAAAGCGAACAGAGAGATGAGAAAAAAATGAAGGTATGTGAGGAGGCCTGAAAAAGAGGTGTAGGTTCCCTTCTCACATCTGGAAGACACTATGGTACTCTGTGTGTGTGTGTGTGTGTGTGTGTGTGTGTGTGTGTGTGTGTGTGCACACGCGCTTAGGAATAGTCGTTCTGCCACATTCCAGATTATTCCACACAGCCGGGCCCACACTCCCTCTCTAACCACGAGTCACTCTGCTCTGGGCCAGTTTGCAACTGTACACACTCAGTGAAGCAGACAAGTGTGGCTCTGTGTCAGTGGCTGTTTAACAAAAGACAAAAAGTAAAATAAAATGAAACGTGTGTCTCGAGACTTTCCATCTGCAGCTGCTGAGAACCAGAGGAGAAAACAACATGTTTTATTAGTGAGAAACATATTCTCTTTACCACCACAGTTCATCATGGATGCCATCTTCAGACCTGGAACCACACTCAAAACCAGTGTTACATTATATAAAAGTGTTATTTTATTTTAATTTTTAATATAACTTGAAATCATGTAAAACTCAAAAATATGAAATAGGTGCTTAATTTGGTTTACATCTGGTCTGAATATATTTGTGAAGCATAAAAGAACGGAATGCAGTTTATTATACTTACAAAACTGAATGAAAGTGTTTAATAAACATGTATTACAGCAACAGGGAGCTTTCTTAGCCATATTTTGACTCTGACTTAAAATATTAATGTGAAAAAAATCCATGGTATTTATGTGGGTCAGAAAAACATGGTAAAACCAAAACACAGGGATTTAGTTAAAACCACGGAGCTTTCACTCCTTCAAAGCTCCGAAGATCTGATCTTGTCAAAAAAATAACTTTTTTTGGATAGAAAATCTGAAAAAGTGCCAGCCCTAAACCTGAAACAAAAGAAAGCTCAGCGGTTGACTATCCTGTAGGTGCCACAGTGCCATCTAGCAATCAAATGCTGAATTACACAGGCAGCTTTTTATGATTTGCTGGAAAAACTAACTTTTAACCATGCAAGTCCTAAAGGTAGATGGAAATCATTTTAAGCGTTTTTATTCAAGTCTCGTGATGTAATTAATACAATGACTCTTAAATAATATATATATTTGAATGTAAAATTCAAATAGAAATAAGAAATAAGAGAGATTAGACTCAAATGAGATAAGTCAGATTTCTATTTTTTTAAGATCACATTTTGAGTTTTATTAAAGGCTTGACATCATCCACACTTTTCCTTGACTTTTTTGACTTGATTTCAAAATGTTCAAAAACGAAATCCTCTACTGTAGCAAGCATGCATTGTATATGAACATGTTTTTTTAGTTTGTTGATGGTAATACCTAGGGCTTGATCTGTCATCTGTCAGTGGGACTGTCAATGTGACTAAGTGTAGCAATAGCAAACAGAGATCAGTTTCTCACCCCGGTTTTTTTTTTTTTTTTTTTTTTTTTTTTTTTACAGCATATCTGAATAACATTTAACCCTTTGAATAAATACTAATAATTCTGTAGCAACATTCTGGGATGAAACACAGAACATTTTGTGTGCACACAGCGCATGTTTTTAGCACTCTCTGCACACAGGCTATCTCTGAGCCACACAACATTAAAAAAACCTGTGGAGGAATTTACTGAGTCAACAAACCCTGTGGGGGTGCAGAGCTGTGGGTCTGATTCAGTTATTGGCCACTTTAACAGACAAATTATTGACTTAAGACCAGTTGAATTGAGGGAGCGTTTGCAACTGACCAAATGACCAGCTACTTTTTTATTTAAACTGTGTCTCCACTTGGGAAAAGGAGGCTTTCTGAAGGAGGATAAGGTTAAAATCACTCTGAAATCACTCAGTACTACAGACTTGTTCTGAGGAGAGATTATTGTAGCAGAATATTTATACCTTTTAATCTAATATTTATCAGATTTTGAATAAATGTGCTACTTGGACGAAAGCAGGGATTGCCTTAATCCAAGTAATCACTAGAGTTACAGTAAAGAAATGAGAGTGAAGTCTTCTTTCTCATGCTTAGAATCCAACAGTTATTGCAGTAAATCTCACATTATTGTAGTGGCTTAGGATCTTACTACACACATACAGAGACAAAGCCATCATATTTCACTGCAATGATACAATATGGAATACAGTGCAACATCACTTTGGATGTATATTTTTCATTTTATGCTGCAGCTGACTTCACTGATAAATTGTCGTTGTGAAGAAAGTTGAGGAGATTGGTCATAGATGTATTGCTGTGATCTGTCATCATTACAAGGCACAACACAATTATGTCAAAGTCCTCAGAGCAATTAACCATAAAATAAATATTATCTGCCATGTTTGCACAATAAACACCCTATATACATGTATTCAGATACATCAATTTAATCAATTACAGTCGATCTTATATTTTTCTAACTGTGTATATGTAGTTACAGTATGTGTGTGTCTACTTTTCCTGGTAAATAAATAATCTATTTGTTTTTTGTTTTATGTTTGTGTTTGTGTTATTTTCATTATGTTTCTTTTTCTGGTATAAAAATGTGACATATAAATATAGATTATTTTTTAAAACTGTTTCTTCTACATAGATACAATAGAAGGCATATTTTTGCAGCACATAAAACATTTGATAATAATGCATAGTAGTTGTAGTAGTGTAGATTAAAAAATATTTTTGTATTATTTAATTCTTAATTCTCTTTCGATGACGCCTTTAAATTATTGTCCTGTTTTATAAACGACGTGCCTAAGTTCTACGTACAACGTGTTTGCACGTCGGTGCGACGTCAGACGTTGGACCAGAAGTGGCGTGTGAAACTCTCCCCGACTTCCGCTGTGCACGTGTTTAAAGAAATGTGGACGATATAGCTAATGAAACATTACTATCATTTGTCTCTGTATGATTTTAGTGTATTTATAACAACAGAAACATGGGGAAGCTAAATGTGGTAGTGTTAAGATACTTATCTCGCGATGACTTCAGGGTTCTCACGGCGGTAAGTAACACGACATTTGTCCTCTGCTCTGGTGCAGATCTGTTAGCCTGTGGTATGCTAAAGTTTTTCATGACGTCTGAAATCTGTACAGGACAACAACGTAAACTCTTGGCGCTATAGATGTGATAGTTTATACAGTGATGTGAAGTCAGTCTCCCATAGTTCGAAATGAAGTGATGAAAAAATGTAAAAATAAATCCTATCGAAGCAATCTCTAATAGAAACCGATCTGCGATTAAGTCAAACATTTTTCATATTAAGTTGTCAATCAATAATTAAATGGTAACATTCACACCGTATTAATAATCAACAAGTGCAAAGGTCAAATATGTTTAAAAGCTAAAAAAAACGCGTCCTTAAAATACAGAAGTTTGTCGAAACTTCTTTAACGAACAGGTTATTTATAGTTTACTGTAAAAGAGAAAAATACTTGATTTTTTTATTTTATTTTTTGTTTTAAATGAAAATCATTCACTAGATCTTTGTCTATGTGTAAAGTAACACGTTTGGGCAATTTTATTGCTGTTTATGGGCAATATGTGTGGTCACTGTATATGTAAAACTGTATTCTAAACTACATAAAACTCTAAAAACTAAGTATAATCTAAAATCTAATCTAATCAGGTTGAGATGGGGATGAAGAATCATGAGATTGTCCCTGTGGGTCTCCTGTCGTCCATCGCCAGCCTTAAACACGGAGGCTGCAATAAGGTCCTCAGAGAACTTTGCAAACACAAGCTGGTTGCCTATGAGCGCTCAAAGAGTAAGAATATGTGACACTGTCTTCTTTTCCCTGTCGTCTGCAAACAAAGTTGTTCACAAAGGTTCTTATTCAAGCATTTCTGTTGATTTTAGCTGTGCAGGGCTACAGGTTAAACTATGGAGGATACGACTACCTAGCCCTGAAGACTTTATCCTCCAGGGAAGTGATTGTTTCCGTTGGCAACCAGATGGGAGTGGGTAAAGAGTCAGGTAATATATATGATGAAAATTTGATTTGATTTGCATTAGGGGGCTGAGATTGAAATTCTTTTTTTTAAGTACATGCTGCACATAGTGATGTTTATTATAGTTAAGAAATATAGTCAAATCTATTTTACCTTACCTTAAACTTTTCACTCATTACATTAAATACATATTTGTGAAGAAACCCAAGCATTAAGGAAGTTGTCTTGGTGTAAATATACCAAATGGTTTGTGGAATCCCTATATAAATGATGTGTGTTTTGTTTGGGTTCTAGTTCTCTTTGCAAAGTTCACTCATTCATTTATCTTTGTGTTTATTTCCTGCAGACATTTATATTGTGGCCAATCCAGAAGGGGAGCAGTATGCACTGAAGCTTCACAGACTGGGCCGTACGTCTTTCAGGAACCTAAAAAATAAAAGAGATTATCACAAACACAGGAAGAACATGTCCTGGCTCTACCTGTCTCGGCTCTCTGCCATGAAAGAATTTGCCTACATGAAGGTACAGGAGTTGAAATGTCATCAATCAATAAGTAAGATGCCATAGGAGTTCACATTTGTGTCGTACAACATTAAAATATTGTTTCCTGATGTCTCAGGCTTTGTATGAAAGAGGCTTTCCTGTTCCCAAACCCGTGGACTACAACAGACATGCAGTGGTGATGGAGCTCATCAATGGATATCCACTGTATGTAACAGGCTATTTGTTAATATTTCATACACACTGCTTTTCTGACACCTACCTAGGAAATGTTGTTTCTGTGTTGTGTCTCTCTTCCAGGTGTCAGGTTCACAAGCTGCAGGATCCTGCAGCTCTCTACAGTGAGTTCATGGAGCTTATTGTCAAACTGGCCAATCACGGCCTGATTCATGGAGACTTTAATGAGTTCAACCTTATGTTGGATGACGAGGACCACATCACCATGATTGACTTCCCTCAGATGGTTTCTACTTCACATGCCAATGCTGAATGGTCTGTGTCTTTGCCATGATGTTAATAATCAGTGGTTAAATTTTATAAAGTTAAATAAATGTTTGGTTTTTTTTGTCCACTCAAAAAAATCCTTGTTTTGTCCAGGTATTTCGACCGTGACGTAAAATGTATCAGAGATTTCTTTGCAAAGCGGTATAACTATGAGAGTGAGCTGTATCCAACATTTAAAGACATCAGGTATCTCCTGTTGTTTATTTAAAAATACTTTTCAGTAACCATTTAAATGTGTGATCTTTTTAACACAACATTTTTAACACCAGAACTATTTTTTGTTAATATCACTTTATGACCTTTTACCACAGACGCTCGTGTTCATTAGATGTGGAGGTTTCAGCCAGTGGCTTTACTAAGAACATGGAGAAGGATAGTGAACTGCTTCACCCAGCTGGACCTGAAGGAGAGGAAGATGATGAAGAGGAGAGCCATGATGATGAAGAGACATCAGACAAGGAAGACGAAGATCAGGAGACTGTTTACTTGGAGGAATATAAACATGCAATGCTAGAACTGGAGGGGCTGAAAGTCACTGACACACACCAAGTGACACAAGACCGAGGACAGGAGAAAACTGAAGAAACTGTAAAAGGGGAACAGAAAGATACTCAAACATTTTTCGATGATGCGTGGAGAGACTTAGAAGAGGAGGAGCTGAAGGAGGTAGAGGACGAGTGTCCAGAGCTAGAAGATCTTTCTGCCGCCAACAAAGAGTTCAAACCCTTTAGGTAATAAAAGGTTATCAGGAAAAGAAAAGGTTAAAATAATTCCCATTTGATGAAATAATGTATTTGAGTTTTGATACTGCAGCTGTTTTTGGTCTGGGAATTGATTGTATCAGAAGAAGAACAGTTTGTAACTGCGTAAAGATACAACAAACCTAGGGGCAACCTCCAGTGGTGATTTCTAAATATTATAAATAATTTTTAAAAATTCAATAGTAAGTGTCCTATTAAATATCTTTAGTTTTATGCAGGATGACAGCAGTAAACATAGAAAGACTATATGTTTAAATTTCAACAATGTGCTGAGCGTTGGTAATTACTGAGAAATGTATACTATTTTTTTTCATTCCTCTTCAGAGACTCTGACAGTCTCCTACAAGTCACTGAACACAGGAGAAGACGGATGGACAGTGAGGCCACAGTGGGCAGCACAGGAAGCTGCTCTACGATACCACCTGTGAGTTACACATACTGTACATATACTGGTCATTGTTAACTCACTAGATTATACTCAGTTCAAAGTCAATTTGAGTCCATAGAATTACCAACAAAACGGGTACATCAGAGACAGGGGAACCAGAATATTGAAATATTTCTGGTTCTTTAAATGTCCTAAAAACCTGAAAATCTGAAAACTGAACTTTAGTTGAGATTAAATTTAATGATGCTGAAGGCTGTAGCTATGCTCTAACTACATCCTGAGTCCTGAAAAAGATGGTTTGACCACCTGACTCTCCAAACCAATGTCTGCTTGAGCCTGTGCCCTTTGGTTAAAAGACTAAAATTAGCATTAATTATAGACTGTGTTTGGTTTGTGATTTTTTTTACATCAACAACAGAGTGCACAATCTGACTCACTGATCAAGTGACTGTCTTACATCAGGAACATTTATTGACAAAGCAGAAATACGTAGCTTGTCTGTGTAATGTTGTCTGTCTGGCAGAGACAGACTGTACAGATGTTTTTCTGTTGACTTGCTATTGTTTTGTTGATGTCTCCTCCAGGAGGTGATCCGTCAGAAAATAAAGAAGCAGCTTACCAAGCAACAGAAGGCAGCACAGAGAAGACGGCTGCAGAAGGGAGAGGCCAACCTGGTGACTAAGTCCAGGAGGGACAACCAGAGTAACATCAAGTCTAGTATGGAGAGTGCTGACTTCTGGGGATAAATAGCACTGCAGTGAAGTTAATCTCAACTTGTTTGGTGATTGCCATATACCATGATGTTAGCGTTGATGACAAAAATGAACACACCTAGGTGGGAACAGCTTAGAACATTTTTATATGGATTGTGGATTGTTGTTCTCAACCCTAAAATAAATATCCATGTAAAAAAATAAATAAACCAAAACCTTCATGTATAACAGTTTATTTGTTTTATCTTTCTTACAGAAATAATAGACATGACACTTTTGTACAACAAGATTCTAGAAACATTCATCTGAGAATCAAGTCTTGATCACCATGACAGCATCATGTAGTGTTTTTGTATTTGTATTGTCAGCTTCTGATGCCCAGTTTGAATATCAGCCACATCTAGATCTAACAAGTTGCTGAGATGTGATTGGCTGATCAAATATAACAATAGACAAACTGCTAGACAGATGTACCTGATGATTTGATCGTTAAGTGTAAAAACTTCACATTTTCCTGGTCTGAAGTTCATTGTCAGTCTGGTTGAACTGCTCAAAGACTCTGGAGGGTGAGAGGCTTCATTTATGCAGAACTTCCATTCAGCCGGGGCCCTATTATTCTGCTTGTTTGAATAGTTTGCCACTTTCACCTCACAGCAGTCAATCAAAACAGTAGAGACTGACAAGCCTGTGGGAACATACATATTCCAGAACATGCCAGTAAAATTCCCACAATAAAAAGAAGTGAATCTTTTTAAAAATATTTGTCCTTTTTACACTCATTTTTAAACATTTTCAGATGAGAGAGAAGAAAACTGGGAGCTGAATAAACATGTTTTTTTCTGTCTCTGGTTCATTTATGTGTAAGAGGCTTTGAAAGAGTCAGTGAATTCAGACTTGAACAATGGCCTTTCATATTGGAGAGGGGGAAAGGGAGCTCAGACCCAATCGTAGTGGATTCAACCTTCATAAATAATTTTGGTAAAATTGTTTTTACTGTTTTTCCGTAGGGCGCACAAGCTTCTCAGACAGGAATACGTGATCACTTTCACCTTCTTCGTGATTCCATGTTTTGGTTCCACTTGGCAACCTTTTGCAAGTTTTCAACCACCCAGCTCTGTTCAGGGATTAGCCAGCTGCATAGGCTTGAGGGGAGGGGCTCAGCATTCCTTCCCTGCACTTCTGCGACTGTGTGTGGAAGGAGTGGGGGTCCTCTGGGCTAATTGGCAGTGAGAGTGACAAAGGTGGTCTGCTTCAAAAGATCTTGTAGATGTTCAAATAGTAAAGAGGAGAAGGAGGAGGAGAGCAGAAAAGGAGAGGGGCCTAGAGATTCAGAGTTTATTTCCAAAAATGTTCCCATCTTGGGCTGTGATGGAGGAGGTGACGGCTGCTGGGCTCTGAGCTCCTAGGTGTTGTTCTGATGGAGCATTCTGGTGAAGCATGGGCAAACTGAAACGAAGGAGACCAGTGGACTGACTGTGTTTTTTAGACAAATATGGAATGAACACAAAAAGTAAAAGAGGATGAATAAAGTAGAGGAGATCATCATGTCCTACCTCTTACGGAGAGAACATGAGGGCGAACTGAAAGACTGTGAGTAACTTCAAATAATTAAACAAATGTTTTATTGGATCAAACAGGAAATACAATTACACCTCTGTTTGATGATGTTGGAGATGCATTAAAATGAAACTAGGCACAGTTGTATTACTTTCTGGAGTTTATTTCATTCAAAGTACAACAAATTGAACTGTAGTGCATTGTACTGCTCAAAGTGAAGCAGGCAGGAAATGTTAAAACCCAATACAGGGCAAGAAAAAGTGCTGATTTGTTCAACTGGAAGGGTGGTTCCCTTTCTACTCAAATTTTACTTAAATAAACACACTGTGCACTTATACAGAGGTAACTGTTACACATTTCTCGGGCAAGAACTTTACCAGTTGTACAACTGTACAACAGTTGTACAAGACAATTTATCTTAAATCAAGATCAAGAATAATAAGCCCCAAATTTTTTCCTCTTGTCTGCAGTGAACGTGGTGGCCATGCTCCATAACTTCTGGGAGAAGAAGCAGAAAAGCAGATTAAGTGCTCCCTCCAGTGACTCCGAGGGTTCTGATAGGAGCAGAGCTGCCAATAGAGAGGGCCTGCTGTTGTATGAATCTGCTCCTTGTCCTGGTCCACCCTATGTCTGCTATGTCACACTGCCTGGAGGAAGCTGCTTTGGCAACTATAAGGTGTGTTTGTCATCATCTGGCCTGTGGGGGGACAACATTGCTGTAACAATGATTGTTACATCTCTGAATGTTGTTGATTTACTGAGGAAATGAACTGTTACATCGTCATTCCTGGCCACTTCTTTAGGTACACCTGTCTAACTGCTATGGTTTACGGAGGACGGTCCAAAAAGGTATATGAAGAAATGTACACAGAAAGGAGTAGTTTTATGGGTTAAGGAAAGAACCTGCTGATGCTAATGATGATTCAAATGCCATAGTTTTGACATAAACAACATCTCCAAAAAATATTTTACAATGTTTTTATTAAGTTGTCCATCAGAAATCTTTTAATTTGAAGTTTATATTATTTTTGCCTTCTGTATATAATTTTTGTATTGTTTTTTATTGGTATCATAGATATATAACTTTGTTGATGGATAAACGCACACATGCCACATTATGCAATATTAAAATGTCACTGCTGTAGAGTAGCCCCTCAACATCTTTGAGAAAATTATAAAGCAAACAAAATCAATTTGAAAATATTTGTTTCTTTGCAGCTAGTGTCACAAATGCAGTTCAGTCTAAAATATGTACTGGATGAGGATTTCTTACAGAGTCTATTCCTTTGTTGTTTTTATGTTGATACTGATTACCAGCAAGTGTAGATCATTCATTTGAAATAAACATAGTCACACCTGCGTGCCCACACACACACTTTTAAAGTAGTCTTAAATTGATTTTACTCTGTTTGAATCCCATGATGCTTCTCAATGGGCTCATTGTGGCCCAGACAGCAAGCCCATAGCCCATAGCCAGCATGTGATTGGTTATCTGTGAAGGCTTCTACTGTCCAAATCTCATTCATTGCGAATTCAATGCTGATCCCATGATTAGTAGTAGTCAAGTGTAAAATCAGCAGAATGTTACAGAGCCTGCGCTCACACACGTCAGCACAGCCTGGAATTCCTGTTCAGTGACATTATAATCCCTCTTCAACATTCCTCCTACAGCACCAGTCATTTGCCCTCATCCGCCCTGCCATGACCAAGCAGTCTCATTATGTCATCCTCCACAGGTGTGCGACACTCAGGCAGAAGCTCGTAGAGACGCAGCTCGTGTGGCTTTGATGAACTCCTTTGTGAATGAGTTGCCGTGTCGACGTATCACCCCTGACTTCATCACTCAGAGTTTACAGCAGGCGGCCACAAACAGTGCTGTGAGTGTGAGATGAAACAAATACATACTATATATTATCTGTATCAACAGATACATACAAATATCTAAACATGGACAATGACCCCGTCTGTTGTCACTGTCAAGGTCTCCATAGAAGATGCATGTGATTCAAGCACCAGCATAGGAATCTACAGTCTGCTCCTCCATTCCTTCATTGGAAGGACAATGCTGGAGTTTCAGGTATCAGGTTGTCTTTCCCTGTCTCTCTATCTCTCGCCCCAAAATTACTAAATCAATATAGTTTCATATAATTAGACATTATTAAACCCCACATAACAAAAACTCTCAGCCGCTGGACAGTAAATCCAGTGTGTTATTATCCTTTCATCCTCCTACTCTGTGTTTGCTTCTTCATTCAAATCCCTTGGTGTTGGTATGAAATACCTAATATTTCTGCCTTTGTGTAAACAAGCATGGGTCTGCCAGCAGAGGGTTATTAGTCAGAAGAAATAGGTCCATTAAGACTTCAAAGCAGAACACACATCTTCATGTGTGTGAAAAGAAAGTACATTCACACTGGAAGTGAGTTCCCACAAATATGCCTTCCATAGACAGTATCAACCACAGAATGTGCAGATTTTTCAGTGTTTTTTTATCATAATTATTAATTTTCATATGGCTTTACAACTGATAACTGAAGGAGTCTGAAGAGTCCACCAAATTAAAGACAGCCAAAACTGAAGGAGCTTGGGTACATCAGGAGACTCATACATTTTTCTAAAACTTGTTGAATACAAATTCAAATAACTGCAGTCTGTTATTTAAAGGAAAATGTATGCAATTAAGTATCATGATCAAAGAAACTCATTTTTTAATCTAGGTATTTTTATCTATATGTATGTACTATATTTTTGGTATATAGATATATTATAAATGTACATTATGTATTAAATACTAGACTAGATTTGTGTGACATACAGCGTTACTTAAAACCAGCCAATAAACAAACACAAACACATCATAACACACAGCTGGACAGTTTGGACTTTAAACCCATACAAGTGACGTGTCACATTTTCAATCTGTGTCTCATTAGGTCATTTTCAGTTAATGTCCAGACTCTGTTTAACACTTATGTTAGCAGCTTGTTACACACTACGGCTGTTCAGCCAGAAACAGTTTAATAAATCAGGATAAAATAATAAATAAAACCTGGTGCACAATGGTTCACAATATGTTTTAGATTAATCACCTGCGGCCTGAGTTTTGATGATGTCATATCCTCCTAATATTTGTCAAGTGTATGTACACAGAACAAGTTGTTTGTTTCTTATTTGAGCCATTTTTTTAACCTTCTTTTTCTTTCATCTCCTATTCAACCACTTTCTCCTGTTTTGTCCTCTCTGTGTAGGAGATGATGACGGTTTTTCAGCTGCTGCAATGGAATGGTACACTGAAAGCCTTGAGGGAGAAACAATGTTCACGGAAGGTATGGCATCTGAGAGTAAAGCTATAATGATCTATACACACAATCACACACAGAACCTTTATCATGATGATAACATGTTTTTGTTCCTCTCCTTAGAGTGTAATTGCCTATTATTCTCAGCGAGGTCTTGACGAGTGCATGCGCAGCAGCATGGCTCTGGATTGGCTTGGACGGGAGCCGAGGTCACCAGGTCAACTGGGCGAGGAGTTACAGGTGGCGCAGAGGGAGCTGGTGTTGGCACGACGTGAAGGCCTGGAGCTTCGTTTCTACAAGGAGAAGACAGAGATCCTGTCCCTGGCTCTTAGTCAAGCTTATGTACACACTGAAACCTGGAGCCAGAGCCAGAGTCAGAGTCAAGAACATGACCAACTTTCTTTAAATACATTAACAAGTCAGGAATCCGAAACAGAGAAAAGCATCTTGTAGCCCAATGTCAACTCTGTGTCAAAGTTCTGACAAACACACCATTTCACTGTCTTCACTACAGACATTTGGGAATTTAAACTGAGAGCCTACCAAGAAGAAGCAGCTGAACTTGGAAATTTGTTTGATTGTTTATATTTTTTCATACAGCAGTTATTAACCATTTTAATTTTACATACATTTTACTAGTTTTCCTTCTGTGTCAGTTTTAAATACATCTACATATAGAGATATTGATATAAATACATAATCAAATTATGAGTTTGGATGCAAAGGGAGCAAACTCTAAACTAATTTCTTTCTGCATGTTTTTTAACATATTTTCTTAATCTGTATGTACGGTAATTATTCATGCACAAGTATGGTTATGGGTAGAAAAATAAAAACAGTGCTAATAAAAAGTGTTAAAAAATAAACTAATCTCCAGCTAAATGTCAATCAAAGTAAACCTTAAAGTGATGAAAACATGTATAATGTATAACAATAAATATATTTGGAAAATATCCATCCATCCATCCATTTTCATCCGCTTAGCCAAAAATCACATTGTACCATACCAACCCCCCTAAACCTTCCTGTGGGTGGTCAGTCCACTGGAAGGTACCAACCGCCCTAACTGAGATTCGATCTTGCCCAGGAGGTGAACCCTGGGGTTCCACACCAATGACAGAGACATTGCCTCTGGGCCAAAGCGCCGCTATTTGGAAATATATTCAACATGAATAAAAAAACATTTTGTAAAGTCAGTAAGTATATTAATTGATTAAAAAATATATTGGTCAAGTTAAAATGTATATAGTTGATTATTAAAATAGAAATAACCCAATACTTGCAATCAGGAAAAAAGTCCTACAGCCACTTAATAATCATACATACATTTATTGGAGGTTATTTTGACAAACTCTTCATCATTTATTCTTTAGTATGTGATCTTTGGTTCTTTACCATAGCCTTCTGTATTCAAGTAAAAACATTTAATGGTAAGACTAAGGCTGGTTCCTGTATCTAAAAGATAAACATCAGACTCAACTTGTCAGATTGACGGTTGATTGTTCAGGAGAATATTAGCTGTTCTCACTTGTGTCTGCTCTTGTTTAATAAACTATTGAAAATGTTAGGTCCTTATCAGACTATAAATGTTTCTGTAGCTGAGATGGAGAGCATTTGTGCCTCAGTTTCTTCTCTGTTCCTCTTTGTGTGTGTTGTTGCACTATGTCCTTGTAGTCCTGAATGAACATCTGGATCTGACAGAGAGACAAGGTGGGAAATTAGAAAGAACAAAAAGTATAATATCTTTTGTCTGTCATTGCTAATGGCCTCATTTTTATCAGACTTGATACCTTGTACAGCTGTTTCTCTGTGTTCTCCATATTTTCAACTTCTTCTGATTCCAACGCATCACTCGTCATTTCGTAGAGGTTGAGTGTTGCCATCTTGATCTGTCCCAGTAGTAGTGTTTTCTTTGCGGCAGTTTCCTGTATGTGGTTCCATTTCCTTTCCTGTGTGAATAAAATCTGTCAAATAACACACATTTTAAGCATCATCTGCTTCTGACTTTGGCTCAGTTGATGTTTGCTACCCAGGTTACTGCTTCAGAGCGTGTCTCCTCTAGCTTGGTCTGCAGCTTGGCCAGTTGATTGTTCATTTGCAGCTGCATCAGATTGTGCTGGTCGTCCAGCGTGGCCACAGCTTTCCTCTGCTGTTCGGCCTGTTCCTGTGCTTCTTTCTCCCTCTGACAGAGTTGCTCTCGCAGGTGGAACTGACTCTCCAAGTGATCTACCACCAGCTGTGCATGTTTGAACTGTGACACAAAAACAAATCACTCTGAAGATGCATCATTCAGCACATACATTATACTTCAGGGGAAGTCAAAGTTAAGTCAGGGGTGTCAAATTATTTTGGTTCATAGGTATTTTTATTTTTCAAAATTCATCAAGTGGCCCGGATTAAACACCGTAGAGAGCTGGTTTTGGCCCTCAGGTCATATGTTTGACACCTGGGGGTTAAATCTTCTGTGAACTAAACAAGAAAGTTCCACTATGTCTCTGACAGCTTTACATGCTTCACTAACATTACACCCGCATCTGTACCTTGGTCATTTTCACCACCTGCTCAATCGTGACTTGGTACACAGTAAGTCTCAGGAGATGATGGTGCAGCTTTTGTTTCCTGGCCTCCAGTTTGGCCTTCTCTTTTTTGAGTATCTGTATCTGCTCTTTCTTCTGAAGCACCTCTCTCCTCTGCTGCTCTGCCTTCTCCACAGTTTTAGCAGCATCTTCATCCTTAATGAGAAACAGGGATGGTTGCTGTTGAATGTTGTCAATTATACAGCAGCGTCTCTGTCTACATTTCAATGTTATACCTTTAAAAACATGTCAAAGCTTGAGTGTAACTGCCGTGCCCCTGCATGGTCCTTGTGCAGCTCATTGACATTCTTGTGTAAATTCTCCAGCTTCTTCATTATAAACACATAAAACATTAATACATGGAAATTGTGCAAAAAGTTAAAACTTTTTTTTTCATTAATTAGTGCACATCACCCATACACACTACATTATTTTACTATACAGGGAATTTTGCATTATTGCACATAAACCATAAATATGTAACTAATCTTGGTAAAATCTCTGCATTTTTTATTTATTTATTTATTTATTTATTAATAACCTGAATAATTTATCTTCTACATCTTGAATCATTTGAAATAATTTGTTTTGCAAATTATTAAAATAAACTATCTAGTCCTCTAAATGTTGCTACATTGTTACATTTTTTTTCTAACATATTGCAAATCCATTTTGAATGTAATGCCATCAATTTAAATCCACTTTCTTACCAGGTGACGCATCAGTATCTCTCCTTTCAGCTCCTTATCCTCATTACGTTTCTTCTGGACTTCAAGAATCATAGCACTTTTTGTACGAGCTGCTGACAACACAGAGCTGAAAACACACGCATGTACGCATGAGTAATAAACAAAAGTTGCTAATCCTGTTTATCACACACTCCAATGTAAAAACTCACTGTGGAAACTGCTGGTGGTCGCCGATCACTGCCGTGGACTCATTCATCACATCACAGTCTTATTCTTTCTCTGAAACAAACTAACAAAATGTTCTCTCTCTTTTTCAAATTTCTCTTGAAACCTTCTGGCTGTTCTTTTGCAGCCCTCCCTTTTTAGTTTCCACGGAAACCCAAACTTAGGCCTTAAAGTTGCAGTTACTTTCAGTGCCATTCAACACTGAAAGTGTCTACTGTAGGACCTACTGGCCCACTATTGCCTGAGAGATGGTTTAATCTGTGCTGTAGATGTGTTTTCAGGCAAATCAAGCTTACAGCAAGATTTACTGCCATATAAAAATAGCATATTATATATATATATATAGCATATTATATATATTAATAATATTAGGACTGAAATCTGATATGTCCAGGAAAATTATTATCTCCCTTCTTCCATTTACTATTTCTCTGCATTCCAAATTATTCTTGGCTTTAATAGATTGTTCCATTATCTGTAAGGATGGTCTCTGTGGTCCAGAAGAATTACATACAAGTAAAACAACTTTCATTGTCTCCTTTTACCACAGTGGCTGCACAGCTCTGAGCTCTAGTTTTTTTTTTTGTTTTTTGTTTTTTTTTTTGTTTTGTTTGTTTTATGTTTACATCTTTAACACATGCACATTCTGGTGGTGACACAATTTAACAAAATTCAAGTCTTAAAATGTTTGTTTTTTCTTCAAATTTATTTATTTATTTATTTGTTATTATTGTATTTATTTATTTTTTGCAGCAAAGCACAATGTGCTAAATGTTCTGAAACACAAAAAATAATTTAATTCAATTGAAAATTGATAGTTTGTTAATAAAATTTGTACAAGGACTAACGGGGAAATCCAACATATACATCTGCAATTAAGTTAAGTACAAATAAATTCTTATTTCTTTATTCAAAATGTATTTGTCATTTAATTACATTTGCCCACACAATTATGATTATTTTGTGTTGTTTATCGTTGTTTTTATTACTAGATTATGGTCCGGATGCTCGGTTAACGATCCCTTGAAAGTATTTCCTTTGAAATTTCACTTAAGACCAAGAAAACGGTGACATCACAAGAATAAGCTAATTTACGGCGAAGCGCTTTGAAAATAGAGAAAGTTTCGTGTTGTCGCTTTTTTTTCTTTTAGAATGTCTTTTCTGGCTCTCGGTAGAGAGCTGGTCTAGTCACGTGTTTTCTAATCTGCCATAACAGTTTCTGGAATAAACAAAACAGATGACAGCTGTGCAGGGTAGAGTTGTTAGCGCTGCTTGTCACTAGTAACAGGGTGTTGAAATCCTATTTTGACAGTTTTAGCAACGACTCGGAAACACCGAGGAGTCGCTGCTGGATACATTGTTATGATAAAAAGCGGGGTATGATAACGGCTGTAAGGCGTTAGCTTAGCTTTTAGCCTGAACAGGGCGTCTTTGGTAGACGAGTGTCTATGCTCAGTGACGGGTTTTGCTTTCGAAACCGTAACCAATGTTTACTCTAACCCATAGTGTAATCAGTGTTTACGTCGGCGACACTTCTCGACAAACCTGCCACACGTGTTTTATCCGCAACGACTGAGAGTGTTTTTTTCTGACTGTGCATTCAGTTTATCAGCTGCTTATCAAAGTGAACCACATTTTACAGTGTTGCTAATGGTGGCTTTTTGTTTACGCGTCCTACATGAGGACTGTATGTTTCCTGTTGACCGTTTCAACCGGGACACACCTCAGTCGACACTCTGTCAATGCGATCTGAGCTGTTGGGGGAAATCTGAGGTGAGCAGAGCCTAAAGATGGAGGCTGTGAGACCAAAGAAGACTAAGGCCAAGAGCAGCACCAAGTCTCAGGTGAAAAACATATTACATATATATCCACATCTATAAGTTCCTTTAACTTTAAGTAAAATTTAAATATGTTTGTCTTTCACTTCCATATTTAGGTCGTTTAACTAGCCGACAGAAAATGTCTTACCCAAATAACTTTATTTGTTTGTGTTTCTTTTGTATATGTGTTATTTCAAGTAGTACACTGTTACTACCATATAAGTATCTCTATAGGATTTTTTTGTCTGTGACTTTTGAGTGCATGTTTATCACTGTTAAAAATAAATTGTAGACCCTTTTTTGTTTTTCTGTGGATGTAGGATGTCACACAAGTAAGAAATTATATCAAATTTACTTGTGAATGGAGCATGTATCATCAGTAACTAACATTTGTCAGGATTAAGCAGAATTGATGTAGATGAACATTCTCAGAATTTTGTCTCTTTTTTGTGTTTTATTTGTTTAATTCTGATTTTCAGTCTGTCAGGAAGCCAAAGCAGGCACAGGAAGAACAACTCTCTACACTCTCTGCCTCTGTCTTTACTGACATCCCCCTCAGTCTGCCTTATGATGGACAAGAGGAGCAAAAGGACCCTGTTCAGATCACTGAGACCAGGGCACAGCTCTCACATATCTCCCCTGAGCCTTCAAAGACTTCCTTATCACAGTCTTCATCCAAATCTGTGTTAACCAATACGTCACAGTCTACTGCCAGTGTGTCAGCAGAGACATCACAAGGTACAGAACATCTGAGGGGGTCAGGAAAGAAAAATGAAGAGGATGGCAGTGCAACAGCACAGGGAAATAAACTTAGAGCTGCATCACACAACATTGAAAAGTTGGGGAAAGCACAGGAAAAAGACACACAGTCTTGGAATAAACCTTGTATTTCATCTCAGTTTGAGATGACAAATGTCGCTAGTGCCCCTGCACTTTATCCATCTCTGCCTAAACTCGAAGAGGGTCCTGTGATACAGCTTACCATGCCAAGTGTGAAAAGTAGTGCTCAAGGTCCTGCAGTGTTGGCACTACCTGAGCAGGAGTCTTCGCCTCCAGGTTCACAACGGCTGGAGTCTGTAGCTGAACTTTCCAGAAGCAAACTTTACCCAGAATTACCTAAAACAGCTCCAGAAATGCAGGTACATTTCTATTATACAGCAAGTGATAACAGTGAGTAATGTGAGGAAAACAAATTTTACAACAGCGCTTGAGTAAATTCAATAAAAATGTTATTTTATTGATTTAAGTTTAAAAGAAGGTTATAAAGATCAGATTAACAACTATGTTCAGTTTATTATCTATGATTTCTTGTAGTTTTTTGTCTGATTTTACAACAACAATCCGTAATTTCAAATTATAAAGAATAATTTCATTCACTTTGTCTTTCGCTGTCTTCAGCCCTTAACACTGGAGCAGCTCGGTGTCTGGGAGCCAGGTGGAGGTTTATCCTGGTTAGATGGTGTTGAAGTGTGTGAAGCTCAGTTTTGTGCTTTGGCACGACAAGAAAGCCATGAACTGACTGAGCTGCTGCAGAACTACTGGCGCTGCCGTAGACAGCTTACCCAGTCACACACACAGCTACACACACTGTCTTCAGACTGCAAGAGCACACAGAACCGTCTTTGGAGCTTCAGAGATGAACAGCTCACACTTCAGGTAGTGTTTTAAAACAATTCACATTTATCAAACATGGAATAAACATCTGGTAGCCTTCAGTTATTATTTGAGCACAATAATCTACATATACAAATAAATCTGAATAATTCTGCAGGTATAAAAAAAAGCGTCATTCAGGTATGTGTGTACTCATAAAGGTAAATAATTGAACTCTCGGTCCGCAGTTCACCATATGTTCATCATAAGAAATTATTTAAAATATTTTATTGTGTGAGAAATAATTTGACCACCCAACCATATAGAGCCACAAATAAGTCTTTATGCACAACCTAGTGTTCCTTTTTCCCTGTTTTGTTCTGTTGTTTGCCATTTTGATTCTGAAGATAACAAATGTATAATTTCTTGTTTGCATGATTTTATTTTATGTTGTGCTATATATGGATTTTTATTTGTCACTTTTTAGGACTCTGAATCTGTTTCTTTCAGAGCATGAACAAGTAAAGTTTTTGTTGTGTATAAAATAAATAATCAACAATCTTTTTCTGCTCTAACATCAACCTAACTGTGATTTCTCTCCACGCAGGGAGTCTGTGCAGACCAGTCCAAAGTGTGTGGGTACCATCGTTTCCAGCAGGCCGACTTCTGTCAGAGTGTTCTTGCTGAACTAAGGCGACTGTTTGAAACACGCAGTGAGCTGCTCCATCAGAAGGTGGCGCTGCATGCATACACTGCTCTGTTGTCACGGCTGCAGGTGGAGTCATATCTCTATCAACTTTTAAAAGGTATATAAATACCAGTACACAAATGCTAAGTGTATGACTGGACGTTATTAACAGGAATAAGTAAATGCCTACAGAATATATTTATTTTTACCTTCAGACTTCTCTGGCAGGCAGTCACAGCCTTGTTCTCTCCAAACTCTGAAAGAAGCCATAAGTGTTCTATTTAGCTTCACACGTAGAGTCCTGGATGACACACAGTTCCAATCAGACATCCATCACTGGCTGGAGAGATTGGTAAAGCCAATATATGTATATATACATATATATTATTTTTTTCCTCATCTTTCATTGTTTTTATGTCATAATTCTCCTGTCTACTCCACAGGTGGCTGTTCTTCTCCATGTTGGAGGATCAGGAGAACATCTTTATATTCTGTGCCACCTTCTCTGCTGTCCTGCGGAGGTTGGAAAGTGGGCTTCATCTTTTCTTCAGGTCATTTTGAACACAGAAGAAGTGTCTTCAGTTGTGCTGAATATTTGATAATTCAGCAGTTTGACCAAAAATGATTGACGTTTTCATCTTACTAAACACAGATTCAAGTTTTGGGAAACACTTTTGGAGTGGAGCATTTCATGCAAGCTTTGGCTGTTTTAATGTCACCGCCCAGGTAATTAGAGATTGGATCCTTCGAACATATTATTCTTCGTTTTATGATTCTGTTATGGGTTCTATTCGATAGGTAATGTCATGATTTTCATCGTATTTAAAATGTTGTTTTTGGCTATAAAACAGAATTTGACACACAAACTGATCGACATACAGTAAATGGCAGAGGTTCAAAAATATGTAATGTACCCAAACACCAAGCTGCTAACCAGTAACACTTTTGTTGTGAATCAGACACCGGGCAGAGTTTCTGGGCCACATGAAACCATGTGATCACCAGAGTTCTTCTGGGTCTGAACCAGGGTCTGGAAATTGGACTCTAGTGGATGAAGGTGGAGAGGAGGTAAGTGTGAAGGAGGTGAAGTTAATGATTTGTGTCCTCAAAAATGTATTAGTGTGGAAAAAATGCAGAAAACAATTCAAAACAATAATATATCTTTGCTGTTTTGCTGTTAGAACTTACACACAGGTTCATTTTGACACAAGAATCTTCTGGTTGTGATGTGAGTCATAGTTGATGGTGTTGCTGAATAGGTGCCACCCAAGGTCATTGAAATATCACTGTAGTGGCATTTGACCATAACTCTTACTGATGTGTTGCTTAGAAATGTTTTGTTTTGAAGAAACATTTCTGAAGATACTGTTTGTTTTTGTACAATTGTAAATGACTTATGTTTTGAGTATAAATGAAGTTTTTGCATCTGATATTTAATCATCTGACCTGCAAAGTGATTGTACCTACATTTTCACTATGTCATCAAATCTACCCCAGTCTAAGTGTATGCTCTCAGGAGAATACGTTAAAACAGATCTGTCCTCAAGTGTTTTTTATATTTATTTCTAAACTGCTCATACTTTTAAGACAAAGTCACACAAAAAATTGAAATGTTATTCATTTTTTACCGCATACAAATATGTTAATATATGACTTTAACTTTTCATTCTTATTTTTTGATTTATTTAATTAACACAATCCTACCTACTAACCCCTGACCTTTTGTTCTCTGTGTTTAGGACGAGGATCCAGAGAGCAGCTGGCTGCTTCTCTGTGAGGATGATCTGATCTCTTTACTGAACCAGTTTCCCTTCCAGCAGCTCTACTCCCACATGCTGGGCATCAGCAGACAAGGTAAAAAGCCCACGTTTTTGTGCTTTTTTACATTGTTTAGATCTGTTATGGTACAAACTGACAGCTGCTCTCTTTCCAGGAGTGTACGAGCCCCAGGTCTACTCCAGTCAGAAGATGATGCGTTTGTTTGCTTTTGCATCCTCCCTCATCGAAATTCTCGCTCTGGGCCTACAGACCTACAACCGAGCCAGATACAGACAACTGGTTAAACGAATCGGACACATCATAAGGTCAGTCCCACACCCCCGAAATAAGATTTTTACTCTTTGTAGGTCAAGTTACAACTTTATAATCATCAGATTGTGTTTCTAAATCCCCAGGATGACATTGTGTTATGTCAGCGATCATTGGGCCCAGTACGTGAATGGAGCTGGTGTGGCCAGATCTAGTTCTCATGTTCACACTCTGTCTTTTGACACACTGCAGCTGGAGTATGATCATCTTTTCCTCAGAGCTGTTTTACATGTTCTAAGGAACAAAAGGTGAAGGAATTGTCTCAGGATTTCCATATTTAGCTGAGACGACTCCCTCCACATAGCCTGTTGTTTATTCTCTCTCCTCCTCTCTCACAGGTTGGGTATTTGGTTGTTTATGTCTGAGATGCCTTACGGGACATTGTCCAGCTCTATGCTCTGGAAGGTACTTTATGTCATGCAGAGAGCTGAGACGGAAGAACCAGAAACACTTGGCATTGCCAGAGACCTGCAGTCCTGTATTCATACTCTCAGAGGTACCAGTCTACAGACCAAAGTTTAAACTACATTGTTTTTCTAAACCATGTTATGTCAGTAACCACACAGTTTTATTCCTAATGTTGTTACTCCCTCTGTCACAGACCCACAGCACCAGAAGAGGTTTGAACAGTGGCTGTGTGAGGTGAACAGCTCTGATGGCATCTCCCTCCTCACTGCCCTGGCACACATGGCCACGCCGACTCAGCACACAGACCCTGTGTTCATCACTACCATAACACTATTGATCTATCAGGTAAGGAGAAAACAAGGTGTTTTTGTTCAAATTTAATGGGTTCTCCCAATGCGATTACTCCCCAATCCAGGCAGAAGTAAGTTAATCATTTACTTGAAATTGACTGGTAAATAAATGTGAGTGTGAATAGTTGGCTGTATTTATATTTAACTCTATGTGGACTGGATGGCTGCTGAGATTGGAATTAGCAACCTTGCACCTCTGAAAAGGTTTAATCAGTGGCTGAGAAATGAATGAATGACTGAGCTAAAGTACCCAAGGCACCGGTTGTTTCACTTACTGCAGTCAGTTTGTAGATATGAGAGACCGAAACTATTAGCGCTGTATACACATACATGTCTTATTGCCTGGAATTAGTTGAATTTGTCTTTAAATAAAAATATGTTTAGAAGAGACACTTAAATAAATGTGAAAAGGTGTAAAATGCCACAATACAGGCAAAATAAGTTGTATTTCCTTCTAACTGATTCCGAATTTTGATCAAACACTAAACTGAATTCAACATTAATAACATACTTAAATATGTTAGAATTATTTTAATAAATACTGCCAAACACTGAGACAAAATTTAAAAAGTAAATGTATTGGCATAATATTAAAATACAATTATTTCCCTGCTGTCCTGACTAATGAAGTAATGTTACCTTTAACATGTTTTTTCCTGCTCTCCTTAGGTGTCCTATGTCAGCATGTCCACCAGAGAAATATACTCTAAGGTGGGGAGGGAGTTACTTGCTGCCATAGCTACAGCCCACCCCTATGTAGTTTCTGTGCTCCTGAATCGACTAAGAGAGACCATACAAACTGTAGGAATGGTTAGTATTATTGTTGTAAATCCCATTATAAAATAAACTACCTGTAGTTTAAAGTACTTTTGTTATTAGAAAAACATTTTATTGTCCAATCAGGGAGTCATGATTGTTTTGTTTTTTTCTGTTAGGTGGCTCTGTACTTGTGTAAAGAGCTGCCTCTGAGTCTGTGGAAGCCACAGTCAGAGGAAATCTGTCTAATCGGAGCCTGGCTGCTCCAGTACCCTCTGTCTGCAGTGGAGAACCGACTGGCCTGTGTTATTCTAGAGGGACTGAACTGGGGCTACACACAGGTAATCACAGAAGTAGCGAAATGAGCAGAAGGGAATGTGTATTTTCATGTCAGTTTATGATTAAGTATCTGTGTGTCGATTTGCACTCACAATTAATTTTAATGAATCCATGAACTAAAAAATGTTAAGCTGCTTCTTTTGGCTTTTCATCCCAGTATTCTTGGTATGTAGCAATGCCCTAAATTTTTTTGTTTATTTGTTGGACCGACACAAACAAGTAGATGTTACATTTTGGTTCTGTTTTTTAATTTCAGTCAAAATTACTACTTTATCACAGTTGATGACTAATAAAGTATTTATTGAGTCGTCATAACATGTTATTTAAAGTTATATTTATGTATCTTACGTGAAACTAGTAAATGATTGGTATCCCATACTTCAGATAAATCTTTCTACTAATTTGCATTATTAGGTAATAAAACATTGCATTATTTGCATGGTAAATATGTTTGTATAATCATAAGTCATCTGGTTCTCAAAAATTATAATAAAATGTAATTTGATATATGCATAAACTCTTTAAGTGTACTGTTCTTAAATGAACTTAAATGTAAGACCCATTGAGCAGACTGATCAGTCAACTCCAGTAATCACATTAGCTCAACCAAAAGCAGTAAAGTACAAGTGTGAAAACACTACATCTCTTTATTTTTGTAGAATGGCTCCTTGGCCCTGCCTTCGTCTCTACACAGTGAAGTGGCTCTGCTGGTGGCTGAAGCCTATCAGAAATACCTCACTGACAAAACCTACAGTGGCCTCATATCAGAGGGAATAAAACAGGTCACACAACTGCACATGAACAGTTTGTACTACAATGTGACTCAGTTTTGGAAGCGTAGAACAACACCACTTCCTGTTTCTTCCCTCAGGTATCCTATCTTGCCAGTCTCCTTCGTTTGGGTGTCTCTCCTGAAGCCTCCTTCAGTCAGTGGGCGTGGCAGCTGCTGCTTCGACTAAAGCTCCATGGAAATTCTCAGAGACCTAAAGGAGCCTGGTTCGTTCCTGCTTTGGCTTCCAACCCACCTCCAGAGCTGACACACACTCCCAGCATGCACTCTGTCCTCAGAGCTGTAAAAGCGGGCATCCCAATAGGCTCTTACCTTTCAATTGCAATGACATCAGTAGGACACAGGTCTGTATTCAGATGTGGGTTTAGCATTTACAGAGTATTTTCCTGGTGCACATGAAACAAGTCCTATGTCATTTTTTATTTTGTTTGGTTTATAGCCTGGAAAAGTTCTGCACTGATGGAATCGTCTTGTTAAAGAGTCTGATCCAATCTCACCATCTAAAAGCTGCTGTGCATCTTTTAGACAATGTGTTGCCACCGACTTACCCTCTCAGTTATTACCTGCTCAACAACCCTCAGTAAGAAAACAATAAAACCAGCTGTGGATGTTTATTTTTAAAAAGTAAGACATTAACGATGACAAACACATAAATGTATCGCCATCTGTCTGTTGTTGGCAGGTTTGTCAGTTGTGTGCAGCTGTTCTTGCAGTATGACAGTGTCTGTCCTCAAGGTGTAACACAGCAGGTCACCCACCGGGTGGCACCACTCCTGACAGGAACAACCTATGGAGACAATGTCCGACTCCTAAACAGTGTCATACAGGTGTGTCACCATGGTTGTTTATAATACATTCTTACGTCAGGCCTTCTGTCATTATTTGATATTCTGTCAAATTTCAAAAGAAATGTGGAAGATTACAATTTTAGTTACTACCAAGATGAGCTTTTACTCCTGTTACCACCAGTTGCTCTTTCTTTTTTTACGCTTACGTTTTTGTTACTTTATTTTCAGAGCCATATCATAGAAAGTTCCCAGCCAAGTCGTGTCGGAGCAGCAGCAGTGTTGGAGTTTTGGGTGGGAATTCTGACTCAACAGAACTTGTGGTACAGAGACAAAACAGTTTTATTTCTCATGGATCAGATTTGCTGCACTGCCTTTACATATCACCAGGAGGAATGTGTGCAGAAACTCCTGTACCAACTGCATAAGGTGAGGTTTGCATATTTAAGTTTTTTTTCCAGTCTCGTAGCTTTTCTGTAAATGATGTAATATAATAAGGAGTTAATATGACAGTGTCATGAGTTTAAAGTCCCACAAAAAGGGAATTAAGCATTAATAAGGCTCAGTAACTGAATTCACCAAATTTAGCTATACAGTGGTCCCTCGTTTATCGCGGTAGATAGGTTCCAAGGCCTGCCACGAGAACTGAATTTCCGCGAAGTAGTGACACCATATTTATGCGCAGTAAAATGATGATGAGGAAGGTGATGATGACTTTTACTGCGCAGCCGATGATTGATTTTACGTCTCTTCAGAAGGTTCCATGATTTCCGAAGGTGTATCCGTAGTAGTAGCAGGAACTGGCTCTTTTTTGCGAGGCTGCCAAACATTGTGATTAACTATTGCTTCCACTGCTTCATTTTCCAGTTGAAGAGTAGCTTGTAGACAGTCGTGACGTTGTCGATTTTGTTGCAAAATTGGATCGATTGAACCATATCGTCATCCCATTCCTGTGATATCTCTTGCAGATCCAAATCCGGGATACAATATATTTTATATACACAGTTTTAAAAAGTCCTGAATCTGCAAAAGATGAATCGCGAAATAGCGAGGGACTACTGTAATTCAAATAATCTTAAGCAAAAAAACAACTGTGAGAGCCTAAGGTTGTATTATTGTTGAAAAATGTTCATTGTGATAATGCTCTTATTTTTTATTTATTGACACAGAATGCCCTGGGTTACCATGGGAACCAGGGTCTACTCTCCTCTCTGGTTGGCTGGATCTCTGGAAATGTCACACCTTCCTTTGTAGATAGCCAATCACTGAATGAAGAGGCAAGTGAATCAAAATACTGTTTTAACATAATTCCTGTTTTACCAGTGCATCAGCACAGATCTAATTTTTCTGTCTGTCTTTGTAGATTTGGTTTGCTTGGCTGGTGTTAAACATGGAGGGTGTGTTTGAGGAGGACTCTCAGCTGAGACGCTGTGTTGAACTTGAACTGCTGTCTGAGCCAAATATGTCCCCAGAACAAGCCCTGAAGGTGAATGAATATGCACATTTACACACCATTTTGCAATTTCAGGTATTATAAGAGAGCAGTGTTTTGACATAGTTTCTCTGTCTGAAACAGAAAGCGCAGCAAAGGCTAAAGTTGCCAGTAGCTCCATCTCTTCAGCGGCTGCAGGTATATCGCTGGGCATGTCAAGCTTTAGCCACACCCCCTGATCACCCGCTTCTTCCTCTGGTCTGGCAGAAGTTCCTGCAGCTCTACCTGAGACAGCCTGGGCCTGAGTATGGGTAAGATGCTCACAGAACCATCACTAAAATTGTCACCTGAATTCCGGAAAATGGGAACAATTTATGTGGTCGGCCTTTTAAAACTGGATGTTCACCAGAGTGGTCTGTTTATGAATGTCGCCCACTAGGCTTGCTGCAGGCGGATGTATAGGGCGCAGGTTTTTCCAGACTTCATCTCAGGCCACTTTACTCAAAGATCTGAGACACAGGATACAGGAGGTGTCAGATTTTCACCACGCTGCCAGCCAGGCCCTCAGAGTGCCCCTACCAAACACCCCCTCATCAGAAAGTAGAAGTGATGAAACTTCTGACAATCCTCGCCTGTACCTCACCTCTCCACAACTACACACAGAAATGGTCAGGTAGGTCTGTGATGTGTAGTGTTTAGGTTTTAAGGTACTTCTTCCTGTTCCTGATGGCAGTTGGAACCAGACAGCAGTTTGTTTGCATGTTTCCTAATGACAGATGATTGGTTGTCTGCAGGTTGTTTGGTGTGTTTGCTCTGTGGCTGGATGATGAGACGCTGCAGAAACAGGAAGTTTACCTTCCATCTCTTCCTCCACAATATGAACCACACAGACTGGCACAAGTTATGCAGCGACATCAGGTGAGTCTTTGTTGTTGTGCTTTTTTTTATTATTAAATGGTACATAAACTCCCATTGGGGAGAGATTGGGTATACATTGTCACTTGTGCTGCCATGCTCTGCTGCAGGAACTGTGGGTAGAATATTTGGACCATGAACGTTTGCAGTATGATGAAAAGGAAGTTTTGTCTCTGTGGGAGAAGGTGCAGAGTGAGCCAGTCTTTCTACAGACTCCAAACCCTGGCTTCACTGATTACACCAACCCAAACAATGGTAAAAAAAACAATAAAAAACAAATTTTAACTTACTTCAGCTTGCAAAGGCTTTTGTTTTTTCTGTGGTTTTAGTCAATTTCCGATGTGTTGTGTGTGCAGCAAAGAAGCGTATCCTATCAAATCTGGAGAAGCATCCGACTCCTTGTCCACCTCCAGAGCTGCAGCAGTACAAAGCACCTGTGGCAGACATTCCAACAAACTGCTTCACTGATTCTAAAGCGGCTACTGAGCTGCTACAACAGGACCTCAGTATCCTACAGGACCAAGCACGGTACATGGACAGCACACATTAATGAAAATATACCACATGCACATAGAGGAATAATTATATTACTTATGTGTACTGTATGTGCAGTCTATTATAAGTTATATGCAAAACCACATACTGACAAAGGGAAAAACTTTGCTTTGTTGTTTAGGGTTGCAGTCGCACGTGAAGCCCAGCAGGTGGCAATGGAGCAGGAACTCTTGGAGAGTCTTCCTCTACTGTATAAAAACAAATCAGAGCAGGTCACAATGGATTTAGAGTGTAAAGGGAAGGGAGGGCAGCCGTGCCAGGGACCTGCACACATGACTGTCACGGTACTAATTCTTAGGCTGCATATGGTTCACCTTATAATATTTAGATCTGTGAAGTCTGCTGGCTGTGGTTTGTTATTTAATGTCTGTCTTTCACTACATTCACAGTGTGAGCGTGTCCAGAGACAGGAGGCCATGCAGACTCAGATCACGTCAGTGCGCAGAGACATCAAAAAACTCCAAACAGATTCCATGGCTGCTCCTCCTCAAACCCTGGCCCAGGCTGCAGTCCACACTGAAAACTTTATTACGTGAGTATAAAATTTTTAAAAACAAATGAAAATTCAACAAGGTTTAACATACGTAAGGCTATATGTGGAATATGTGGAAGAAAATAAGTTTAATATTAAAATTCAACATGGACTTTACTTTTGTGTCCAGGGCCCTGGTGAACATGTGCAAGGCCCAAAAATCTCCCGCAGTGCAACATGTGGGCGTCTCCGCCTTCTACCAGGTGGTTTCCTTTGTGTGTGAGGACACACTGCGACATCCGTCCACACGCCAGTACCTCTCGTCTTGTGTTGAGATTCTGGGACAGGTGAGAATACACAGTTGATCTTCATATGTCTGAAAATAATGATTTTTTTAAATTATCAATTAACATTGATTTTCTGGTGAGTATGAAATCACAAATAAGTTCTACATGTAGATAAATGTTGGTCTGTGTTTAATATATTTGGATTGTCACCCATAATGTCAGCAGTAAAGAAGCAGGTTTCTACATGATTCCAGTTGTGTTTCCATCGCAGGTGTTTATCCAGGGAAATGCAGAGGAGTGTGGTCGTGTCTTGAAGACCATCCTGGAGCAGCGGCGTCTTTGTCCTCTGATATCTCCTTTCTTCACTCCTAATTCTGCTCCAAAACAGCTTGTCTCTCTCTACCAAGATGTGGTGTCATCATTGCATCTCGACAGTGCTGATGTCATTTTCATGCTTCTCACAAAGGTCACTTTAAAAAAATGTATCACAATAAAAAATATTTTACTGTACTGTCCAGGTGAGCTCAGTTACACCAAACTACTTTTCACCTTTTTTCTTCTTGCAGTTTGATTTGCCTCAGTGGCTGAATGAAGCCCAGCCCATATTTTCAGAGAGAACCCGTTTGCTGGAGTTGGTCCACGGAGCTCTGTGTGTCTGCGGCCGAGACCCTGACCCTGACTTTCTCACACCTTTTCACCTCTTTACCAAACACTGGACATCGCTGTTACGCCACCATTTCCCCGACCACTACAGTGACTGTCTGCGTCTCCTCATGACCAGTAAGTGTGAATCTGTGCATACATGCTAGTTTCAAAAAACAATTACAAAAGCCAATAATGTAAACACATGCTGTGGACAAGTGTTGAAGAAGAAAAAAAACATGCAGCATACCATTACTGTCACATTAAACAGCATTCTTGTGATGCCTCTCATGTGACTTGTTGTCTTTCAAAGCACACGGTTGAAGAGTCTTCTCAGTCCATTTTCAAGTGAAATACATTCATCCTCTTTAGCAAATTCCTCCCACTCATTTCCCCACCAACAAAAGACTTGAGTATGTAATTTATGTCATTAGAGTGAGCAGAACAATGCATTCAATCTGCACAGCTGTCTACATAATAGTGACTCATTTATCACCATTCACCATCACAGCCACAGAAATTAAATCAGTGATATGAAACAAATCTGTATTTTATAAGATGTTTATATACCAGAATAAAGATACTATATATATATATTAGATATATATATATATATATATATAGTATATTCTAAGTATCTAATAATTGTAACTGTTTTATATGTTCTTGAACAAACTGAAGTCATTTTTATTGCCACCAGGTTCATCAAATCAGTTACTGAGTCCTGAATGTTGGAAGGTGACTCTTCGAGTTCTGGGCTGTTTACCTCCAACCTGTAGCACAAAGAGTAAAACCGAATTAACCCTTGGCTCAACTGAATCTCCTGGACGAGCTGTTGCAGCCCAAAGTTCTCCCTTCAGATCTTCCATTAGCCTCTCACCCCAGCAGGTACCAAAAGCTGACCACCTGTAGGAATAACACGTTTTACTTAAATCATCATAACTAAACCAGAAACACTATTTTATTGGTTCTAAACAGATGGATGAGACTGTTAACTGGCTGAGCGAATATTTTCTGCGGAGTCGTCTCAGTAAGCAGGACCTCCGCAGCTTTGGCCTCTTCTCTGCCTGGACTCCCTACGTCAGTGAGGTTGTTTCCCTCTGGGATCATTTGGTCACATCACTCATCAATGTGCAGCTCAGCAGCTGTGCTAGAGAACCAGTGGGAAGCAGCAAAACAATCAAAGGTAACCAACTAAATGTCAGCAAACGACAGAAGTAGTTTTCCCTTGTAGGGAAGTCGAAACCTTCAGTTTTGAGTCTGTTCCTTTATGGTGAGTTGTTATAATATGAAGGCCAAATCTCTGGGGTTTTTTTTCTTCTGCAGTTCTGCAGGAGCTGTACTGTACGATTGTGAAGTTATTTAAACCTTGGATTTTTCCTGTGGACACAGATGAGGGAGGGTAAGTGTTGCACAACCTGGACCCACATATCAGTTTGGACAGATCAGAAGTGTTGTGAGAAAGGCAGATGTGAAGCAGATGTTAGCTCAGATGAAAGAGGCTCCAGAAATCAAAGAATCAAGTTTGATTTTTGTAACATGTAGTCATAGTTTCTTCTACAGGTGAAGAGGAAATGTTCTTGCCTGTGTAGATGTTATGTTAGTGGCCAATTGTGTTAGCATGTTAATATGTGAAATGCATTTCAGTGTTTCACACTAGCTCAAATATATTCCCTCATTTTTCCTCTGTCTTTACAAAGAGTCTGTACTTGTATTTAGTGACACAAATACGTAAGTAGATGTTTCCATGTTATTCCATGGAAGAAATAAAACGTTTTCTAAAGATTTAACAGGCAAAATACTACAATATCTTGTATAATATTCATGTTAAAAGGACTCTACATTAGAAATTAGTTGTTCCCGTATATAAAGTTAGGCTTATGATGCAGTCGCAGAGTTGGTGACTGTATGTACAATGACAGTTAAGTTGTTCTTCTGATTCTTATCATTCTTAGAAGTCTGAAGTGTTACCCTTGGCTGGAAACTGATGCGACAGCAGCAGCGCCTCTGGTTGGACTGTATACTCAGCTGACTGACAGCCTGCATCACAAATTCAGAGGTTGGTCCACAGAAAGTGATGAGTATCTTTACACCAGCAGGTTAAAATCAGTTATCCTCCTTGTTGTTGTTGTGTGTGCTGCTACATCAACAGATCGTTTGCTGCCTAGTCAAAGAGGAGCGTTGTGGTTGTGTATGATGCAGTACTGCCAGAGCTGCACCTCGCCACGCACGCCCGAATACCTTCTCTACCTTTACCACACTCAGTTCCGGAGCCTGCCCTGGAGATTCCTGCACCCTGACACTCAGCTCATGGAGCAGCTCTTCAGTGTAAGAAACCAATGACTTCTGACCTTTTGAGCCCTGTTCTAAATCTGCAGGACACAAGGGACTTTGTTCATGTTAATGTGAGACCTCAGTCCTCAGCTCTGGCCGCTATTATTAGAATAGCTTGATGTAATTAAAGTCCGAAGACCAAGCTGTTAGAAATACAACACATGTGGGTCTGTCTGTTCAGACCTATGAAAAGACTACTCTGTTCAAACTCATTGAAATACATTTTTTAACAATTTTAACCAAACTTTTATGAAAATCATTCAAAATAATTGAGGCTTTGGAACATGTTTCTTGTCACTATAATTTTTGTAAGATTGTAACCTAAGGTAATTTTTTTTTTGCTTGTTCATACACTTTATTCTGCCCTCAGGTGGAGAGAGGAAGTCCCAAGAGCTGCTTCCTGTTTATGGGTGGAGTGTTATGTGAAGTGAACTGGGTCAGTGTTATGAGTGACAGCTTACAGACACCTTCAGCATCTGCTGCATATCCTGCTCTGGGCACCCAGAAGGACTCCCACACCATGCTTGTCTATCTGCTCTACATGTTGGTCTTTCTGGCCAAGGAGGAGCAGCTCCTCAGTCAACAGGTGACCTTCATAGTGTTACTTTTCGATTAATCTGAGAAATGATTTTGATCTACTTTGTCTTCTATTACTTTTGTTACTTCCGTAATTCTTCCTCTGTGTTTACTTCCACTAATTACTTCTTCCATAGTCTCATTCTCCTTTTCATCCACAGGAATCTCCTTTGCTTAGTCTGTTGGTGCAGTCCACCTCTCTGCCCTGGCATCAACTGGACCTCTCCTCATACCAAGGCATTCTGGGATATGTCGGCACCCACTACACTCCATCTTTGCTACTCAGCACAGATTCTGCCCCTCAGCTGCTGCTAAAATTGTTGCGTGGTGGTGCAGGGCTTCAGCTCAGTTCTAATGAAGACCCTCACATGGTGAGCGACAAATCACCCTTTAATATTATTACAGTACTTTGGTGTATATTGGCTAAAGGGTTTTTCAATGAGCTTTTTTTTTTCTTTTTTTTTTCTTCTCAATGAATTTCTATGAGTTGTTATTTAGTAGCTACGTCCTCAAAGTAACTCAAGAGTTCTTCTTATCTTAACCTTCCTCTAAACACATTCTGGGTTTGTGTGGAAAATACTGTAGACTGGTATTTATTAATGTTGGTAATTAATAAATGGCCTTTAAACTGGACCAAAACCCCAAATTAAAATAAAATCACTCCCAAGGATGATGCTTTTCCACCGTGTCTCAGAATGTTGAGTGTTTTCTTGTGTATGTGTATTTATTATGTATTTTAGGGTTAGGGTTAGGGTTAGTATTTTAGTTTGTCTGCAACATCCCACCTCTAGAATTCAGGATAAAACTCTAGCATTAGTCTCACGAAGAGCTGATGTAAGTGTTTTGCAAAGTTTAACCAGGCAGTAATGTTTTCTTTTTTGGAAAACATATTGTTTTTCTGTTAGAAAATTATATAGATAGATTTCTTAGATTTTTAGAATAGATTTCTTGTAAAAGCTGACATCGTTCACCTCCAGTCTGATTTTACTGCCCAGTGTTTGATTATTTGGCCTAGCTTTAAAAGTCTGTGATTTGTGGTTATAGACAGAAAACAGATTAACACATGTGAATGTTTTCCATGTGTGGTATTAACACATTTTCCTCTGTGTGTCAGGAGGAGACACTGAAGGCAGGGGCGTACGTCTGCTGGTGTGTGCAGTCCTTAGTGACTCTGGAGCAGGGAGGAGGAATCAGCCTCAGCAGTCTGGAGTCTCAGCTGGAGACACTTTTGGAGAATATTGTCACATTCAACCCCCCAGGTTAGATATGACTCTCTCTGTTACACATAGTTGACATTGACAACTAAATGTTGCTGTAACTGCTGTTCTCTAGCATTGCACCATGCTCCTATAATAACAAAATAAAAATGTTTCCTCCACAGAGACAGGTTTGGAGCAGCGACACATGGCCTTGTGCCGTCTCTTCAGCGACACTCTGGCTTTGTTGAACAGAGTTGGCATCTCGTCCGGCGAAGCTCTTGCTGCTCGTGTTATCACCTGGCTGGACAAGAAGGGGAGGGGCTTTCCCATTCTGCCTCTACTCACAGCCTGCACTCGTTGCCTGGCATCAGTACGACACATGACTCGCATCATGGAGGCGTGCATCACAGCCTACTTTAACCACGGTATGGATGGATACCATTTGTGTGGTTGATTTTGGAGGTTTTCTGCTGCCATGTTATATCACAGTTGATTGGTTGATATAGTCTGGCTCTGTACAAGCTCTGTTTCAACTTTCAACTTGGCAATTTAACACTGTGCCCAAACTGGAGTTGTCATGAAGTTCCTTGCAAACTGACACATTTATAAGAATTTTCATTTGTGTGCTTGCTGACACCGAGTACCGATACCGATACTCTAATTTAGCTTTCTTCTTTTTCTTTTGGCTTTGTGCTTTGGCTTTTTTTCAGGGGTTGCCACAGCGATTCATTGATTTCAATCTCTCCCTGTTCTCTGTATCCTCTACTCTGAAAAATTCTTGCACACATACGTACCTCCAAACAGTGACATTGTTGACTTTTTAAAATAAAATGCCTAGAAGAAAAGTAAGACGGTGAACTAGTACACTAGGAAAACATAACACTGGCCAACCAGTGCAGCTGGTTGTAGTGAAAAGCTGTTATGAAGTATTAGATTGCAGGATCAGCAAGTCTTTAAAAGAATCTCCTCTTCTTTTTTTTTTTTGTAAAACATTCTTCAGGTCGTCTGGTCAGAATTATCAATCATAACACTGCAGCAGACATACAGACACTAAAGTAGATAATCCTTTAGTTCTAAATATTTAATCAATGAAAGCAAAATTGAATATTTTAATTATTGTAAAGTTTAAAGTCTTTTTAAATTGAATTTTGCAAATGAAAGAAAAGTGATGTTTCATAAAGAATGATAAAATTCTGTTTTTATACAATTCTGTTTGCGCTAAATAAAATTTCCAAAATTGTTTAATTAATTGTTTGTTGTGATTGTGTTAAGTGCTTATCGATGCAATGATAGGATTGTGTCACAAACTAACTAACACATCAACACCATGCTTTAAATAATATCCTTCATTCTATCTTAAAAATTGAATGTTTACAGTCTATGAAAATATGATCTTCTTTTTAAAATAACTTGTGTGATATCAGGATCTCCTCACTCTCCCTCCTCTGTGTTTACTGTTCAGCTGAGGAGGAGTCTGTTGGTTGGGGTCCAGTGTTGGCATCTCTGCAGGTGCCTGAACTCACAGTGGATGACTTCATCTCCGAGAGCCAATCTGGAGGCAGCTTCCTGACACTCTATGCCTTCATTTTACAACGCCTCAACAGTGAATACACAGCAGCCAATGAGAGGAGGACGCTGTCTCTGATTAACACATGGACCAGTCAGGTTTCTCCCAGGTTTGAGAACCCACCCACACAAATTAACCCTTCATGCTGTTTTGTTTTGGGTTTTTCTTTTCGTAATTGCTAACAACCGTCTTTGCTGCGATGTGTCTCCTTTGTGCAGTGGTCCATGTGATGAAGCTAAGCTCTTACTCTGGTGGCACAAATCTCTGAACCTGTCAGTGGAGCAACTCCAGCCCCAAGCAGGCCTCAGTGAAGTGTCAGGAGTCATCATGAATCTGATGAAGCTGCAGACCAGGCTCCTCCAGCTGGGAGAAGAACGAGTCAACTCTGGGCTGCTGGCCGCAATAGGCCTGGGAAAGAGATCTCCTGTTTCAAATCAGTAGGTTTACCTGCATTTTATCAGTAATTAAAAAATAAAGTGAACAGGTTCATGTAGTGTTAGACTTTTTACAACTATCCCTGGTAACCTGGTTTGAAGGGGAAAGAGCTAGAACATGTTTTGTATGTGCAGAAAGGGAAGAGAGGCAGGAAATGGTAGTAACTTAAACAAAACCTACATACAGCTGTGTAATACATATAGTTAAATATTTGTCTGGTGTAATTAATATAAAGAATGTCATTTTAGAAATAATAATTACCAACCAGTAACTACTAGCACTTTAACAATGCTCTTTATTATACCAACCGTGTTTTATGTGCTTCTGTGTATTGGATCTGCCCAGGTCATGGTTTACTTCAGGCTTAGTTATTTATAAATGAAGCTGTTACAGTGTACAGCTGTACTTTACCCAATTAGCAGCTAGATGTCCGCAGGGCAGTAGTGCTCTCCTCCAGGATCACCATGTATTGGTAAAAAAAAACAGTATAAAGTCACTGAGGGAGGAAGAAGAGGGAATAAAAACACTGACAACATGTTAGCTGACCTGCAACTACTGCTGTTTCCCCCACTTTACTGTTGTAAAGATTCAGGGTCTTGGTTCGAAGTCTGGCAACCTTCCTCTCAGTCCAGGTGCAATCAGAAACCGAGGTTCGACTTCAGCCCACCACTGAGCTGCAGCTCTCTGTGAAAGCCCAACAAGTATGAAATACAAAGACAAAATGATTGTGTTTTATTCTTCCTTTGTGTGTAATCAACCATTCCAACTAACGTCTCTGCTATGTTCTATTTTTCTCTTAATTAAGGCCTTAGGGACTTTAGAGACCCTGCCTAGCAACAAGCATTACGCAGAGTTTCAGAACCCTGTGAAAAAGGTTGTCCAGTTCATCCGTTCCCCAGGACACTGCCTTAAAGACGCACCACGATTTTTGTCCCTGCTTGCCAACCTCCTGTATCCTGACCTAAGATATCTGAACATTATCCGTTAACTGAACCTGACCTGCAGCACATGCTGCAGGCTGAGGGGATGTAAGCTCCCTGTGGAAAATACGCTGACCATAACAGTCTGCTGACTACAGATGAACCCTCCCGGAGCACAAGAGTTTCCAAGTAGTTGCACTTTTACTGAGTTACTTTTAAAAATTCTTAGAAAGAAAAAGAAGACTTTTCATCAAAGCTGGTTATGCCTTTATAAAAAGTAATGATATTAATGACCATAATCTTCTGCCCAATGAACAATGAAGCATTGCCGATCGAATTAGAAGGGTAAGAAATGATGTGTTAAATGAAATGCTAAACTGTGATACACATATCTTTCCTGTCATGCGTTATTCCTCTGTTGCTTTTTTTTTTTTTTTTAAGTGCCAGATTTTTCTCAAATCTGTCAATTCTGTCGACAATTTCAGTGATACATCTATTTATCCTGGTATAATCATTGGATCAGGGCTCAACTCTGGTGTCTGTGTGTTAATTTGACATCTGTCTATGAATCAAATGGGTAAGAAGTCAAAGGACGCATTTAACATGAAGGAACTGGAGTATAGAAGGGCAGAAGGTGACGTCAATATCCGACCTGAGGATTTGCTGTTAATTCTAAGTCAAAATCACACTTTGACCTGAAATTTCCCACCCTTTGGTACTGTAAATTTACAGAAAAAACAATCGCTGCCTCCACAAAGTGATCATGATAATTACACATCTGCCAGTATTACTTTAATGTCCAATTATGATGCTTTGCTCATGTCTGCCAAAGAGATAGTTTTATTTGTTTAGCTTCATAAACCATGACCATGACCACTGGTTGTGTCGTTCCTGTCTGTTTACACTTACACACACACATACACACACACACACAAGAATCTTCACTAAATACTGCTTAAACCAGACCTGGGCAAACTATGGCCTGTGGGCCAAGATACGGCCCACCAAACACACAAAGTACAAAGGTATGGTAGAGACTGTTAATCCTGCCACAGTAGAGACTGTGGCAGATAAATTGTGCCAAATTAAATATGAAAGTTTATTCTTGTAAATTTCATTCAAAGTATTTCACCAAGCAGTCTACATCCAACCAATACCCAACCGGCCATTCAAATTCTGGACCTCACTTTAGCCCATGAGCCCCTGGTTTATACTATACTTTAGCATATTGCTTCCCTATAGGGTATTTTTGTGGTCCAATATTTATTAGTAAGACAGCTTTTACTACTAAAAGAGCAGGAGTGTTATAGTGTTAAAGCAGTGGGTATTTGAGGAGCAAAGATTTGTCAGACATTTTGTACCACTACATTCTGGGCTGATTTCCCTTTTTTAATTAATCTTGTCATTTTACCTCCTCTGGTGCTCTGTGCTATCTTGATAATAATGCCTCCGCTGCTGCTGCTGCTGTAGCTGTAGAAGAGCCTCAAAGGCTTGAAGCTCGTCTTATTGCCTGTGTTATTTGGAGACTGTTAATGTCAGCAGCATTTCTTTTTATATGATTCAGTGATCAGAGATGGGTCTGTTGAGATGCTGTATGGTGGGGGCTGAGGGAGCTGACGAGAAGAGAGACAGCTCTGTTCCGTGCAGAGAAACCAGTGTCTGAGACCAGATATTTAAAAAATATATATGTATATATCAATCCTGTCTAGTCATGTTGGGTCACAAGGTAATGTAATAATATATATAGTATATATATAATATTATTGTAATATTTTGAACATAGAGCTTCATCTGAACACACTGCAATGACACCTTAGGGACCTTATACACAGAAACTTGCAGTTCAACCGTCCATCACAGGGTCACATATATAGACAAATATCTGTTTTAATTTACACTCATACCCTTGATCAGTTTGCTGTGGACCATTACCGTATTTATACAGCCATCAGCTGGTAGTAAAACAGACAGTATACCTGATCTACACAGCTGTACTTTAGTCACAGTCACAACACAACACCTTTTCCCTAAATCACTTAAGGTCAGCTGGTGACCTTGAAGTTTAATTTTATGATACGAAAGTTACACACAATAACTTTCCAAGAGCTGCAGATGAAAACACCAATATACATACTAGTATATCTGCATACTCCTACACAATCAAAATGTGATAGAAGTGAATTGGTCAGCATCTCCATCCTATTGTTCTCTGCACATCCTCAGCTGACCAGTGTTCAGCTGGTCTGTCTCTTTTTGTTAGTGAGTCTCTCTGTGTGTGTGTACATCCAGTGTCCTCATTTGACTCTACCAAGACTGTCTGCCTCTCTTCAGGCTACAGTGGTCTCTATGGTTACCGGAAGAGTAGACGTGAAAGAGAAGGGGGAGGATAGAGGAATTTAAGGCTCTGAGAAGAAAGGAGCTGGGGAGGGGAGATGCTGCCACCTTGAAACACCTAATGACATCCTTGTGTCATCTGTGAGACCCTCGTTTGTTGTTTGTCCTGATGTCCTATCACCCCTCTGTCTCATGTCTCTTAGCTCAGATAGTGCTGTTCACTCCCTGTTTACCACTGTGTGGTACTTTATTCTCAGGCTTAAGTCTGGTGGGATACTTCTTTGTTAACTCAGCCCAACCACACACACACACATGTGCGCAACGATCTTCTGGCAGACTCATCACTGTCTGGCAGATTCTTGTGTCACCATGGAAACCCAGCATCACGTCAGGAACAGTCGCTCTCAGACTGTTTTCAGTGCACACTCAGCAGCAGCAGGAGGACGAGGATTAGCTCTCACTGGCTGATAGGACACAGACATAAAACAGACATACCACAGGGAGGGCAGCGGGTTTTCTCTAGAGAGCCGTACTGACAGATTACAAAACGAAGTTTCCCTAATTAAAGTACAACTCCCTAAATTTATAGCAGAAATGTGTTTCCTAAGGATTATGAGTTTAACATAAAGACGTTGTTAGGGATTCACTTTTGCAGTCGTCGCCTGCAATGACTTTATATAGGACTGTACAGATATGGAGTCCGTCTTAGATGAGCTGTAACGGAGCTGCTCATAGAACTTGTCTTATCCCAGTTGTACTGCATGTTGTTTGTGATTATTTTAGGGTTCAGTATTACAGTCAGTAATACTAGTCCAAGTCCGAGTGTGAAGCAACAATAAGAAGTAAAAGTTAAGTCTTTGGGGTTCAAGAAGAAGTTTGAGTTGAGTCTGAGTCCAAGTCCAGCCCTTCAGACCTTTTGGTTATAAGGTGGAATCTGATTCACTGAAGACAGGTTCAACTTGAGATTACAGTTTTTAATCATTCAAGAAAATTTTGAGTAAGCATGTGAGTAAAAGTCCAAGTTCAGAATCATCACCACTTACTGTAAGTCTAAGCCCAAAGTAATGACATTGGAGTCAGACCAGTCTGGCCCATAGACCATTAATGAGAAATTGATGAGTTGTAGGCTGAAACCTTTGGGGCTTAAAGCTATTATTGAAGACCAAAAAACTATTTGGAATATATTAAGTATTATGGAACGAAGGAGTAACCCACATTGGACATACCTGTGGTTCTAGGAGCTCAGGCTGTATGTTGGTTTAAAGTGTACACTTCCAACCGTTTCATTTAATTTTCAAGACTTCCTTCAAATTCTCAGAACTTTCTAAGTACACAAGAACGAAAAGACCAGCAGTAGCCTTTTTTTATTATACAATTCACTTCATCCTGTGGCCTTCAACAGACTCATTGAGAAAAATACTCAGATCAGCTATTAAATATACGGGAGATGAGAATACTGAGTGAAAATGTTGAACTGAATCAACACTGCTCCTACAAAAGTGGAAACAATTTGAGGTTTAGATACGATCAATACTATATTGAGCTTGAATCAACATCGCAAAGTGACTTTACAAATATTATTAATCAGCAAACTGGATCACACAACATTCTTTAGTTGTCTTTAAGACACTGTTAAACAATGAGAGTAGAAGAAGATACGAGTAGTGACAGAGGGCGCTAATGTAGAGTTGTATGACAGAAGGTTGGTGGTTTTACTGTTCAACTGAAAAGATGCCAGTATTTTGTCTCACTCAATCTGTAAATAAAAAATGTATCTTTTTGAATACTTTGTTGTTGAGGGACTTCCTCTGCTATCAGGTTAAGAGGATCTACTTCATGTCAGGAATTCCATCCTTGTTGACAACGGTGTGTCAGATTCCTTCAGGATGTTGAAAGCCACAAGATGAAGGATGATGATCTGATAAAGTAGCAGTTGTTTTAAGTCCATTGTTTCCTCTACTCACCTTTGAGGACGGTGGGTGAAGTTGGATCTGCTCTACTTCCTCACTGTTTTCCCACACATTAAGTTTTTACGTCTCATTTCAAGTGAATTAATCCAGGACCACACTACTATAGGGTTTGTAATTTCTGACTGTCCGTCGCAGGCCAAGCAAACATGGAAATTGCTGGTGTGTTCACCCAGCTGCTTTTCTGAGACAGCTGCACTGAGACCCAAGAGTCTGTCCCTCCTGCCAGAACACACTGCGCTGGACACAGTCTTCTCTCCTGCTTCTATTGATTAGACTGTGTAAATATGTGTGTATGAGACACAGAGCTAAATGTAATATTTGAAAGTGTCAGACAGACTCCTCCACCCAGACTCCCACTTTCCTCACACCTCCTCGTCAGTCAGGTGGGGAGAGATGACTCAGGCGTGAACCACTCTCATTTTCTCCCCCTCTTTCTCTCTCTCTTTTAGATTTGACCCAGTCGAGCTGCTCCCAGCTGAGTGGGCCCTTAAGTGCACTTAACGATAAAAGTCATCAGTAATGACTCAGGCCTCTAACTGTGGTATTTATCATTTTACAGTATTTTTAAAAGTAAGGTAGGCTGCATGTTGATCTGCTTTGGATGGGAAAGAGCAGTGAAGTCAGACAGGAATGTTTGAGATGTTTATGTTTCACCCTAGTCTGTAGCACAAGCCAAATCAACCCACACAGAAGAGGAAGCTTTTTAAAACAGCTTAAAGTTCCACTTAAATTACCAGAACGATAGGTTAACTGTGATGGATGGATAGATAGAGTGTTAAAGGGTAAGAAGCGATAAAAGTCAATACATTGCATGACCATTGGGGGTGTAATTAAACTGTGGCACACCCTGGTAGACCTTATATTCAAATCTTTGAGTGCTAAAATGTGTCACATAACATTAATTGATTAATTGACTGTATTAACAGTCAGTATTAACAAAAAGTACCTGTACTGGAACTGGGATAATAAATATGTAAAATAATTAAATATACAGTACTACGACACTGAACTGGATTCAAACCACACTTACAGCATCCTTTGCAGGACAGGATAGGCTTTGTTTTATATGTTTACAAACATTGAATACCAAAATGAGTGCACACTTTACCTTTTATGGAACAATTCTCTCTCCCTCTCACTCCCCCCCCCCCCCCCCCCCCCCCCTTTGTCCTCCCAATAATGGGTGAGTTATCAGGATTTTACTGACCAATTTCTTTGATTGAGAATCAAGTGTGTCCATGTAATTAATAGTTCATAAACAAAATGAAGCGAGAGAGAACAAAGAGAGAGAGAGAGAGAGAGAGGTAGATAGAGGAAGGGAGAGAGAGAGAGCGGCAGAAAATAGAGACAGGCAGAGAGGGAGAGGGGAAGAAAGCTTGGATTTTTCTCTGTCTGTTGGTGGATTTCAGACCAGTGGGACCAGGATCAGATTCTGAGGCAGCTGCTGTTTTGGTAAGAAGCAAATTCCAATATTTGAAAATGTATATTTTTAGCCTGAGCTATCTTAACAAGAGCAGCTTTTAATGCACACATAATAATGATGAAGATTATGTTGTTTGGTGGAGTTCCTTCAGCTCTGTCTTCTGGGCAGCCTGTGACCTCTCAGCACACACACTCCCCTTACGTTCACCTTGAAAAATTGAACAGATTATTGGACATTAATGAGATTAATGCAGACTGTGGGCAACTTTTTATTTCCTTTGGTGTGTGTTTGTGTATGATGACGACAGCAGCTGAGTTCACAGTTGGTGAGCTCAGTGTGGGTTAATGTGGCAGCGTTTGGTCACTGCTTATTTCAGCTGCTCTGCTGCTCCTCCTTCTCTCCTCCTCCTCCAACTGACGTCACTCTATAAGGAGCAGACGGAGGTGCCGGAGCAGTAGCAGAGCAGACTGAACACTGGCGCCTCCGGACCATGGTCATCTGATATATTACTGCCTTTTCTGCTAATAATCTGGTAGGATTTTATCCATTTAACTCCATTGCTACTGTTTTTTTAATTCCCATCTCACACATGTAATGAACCTGGATTTCGTTATTAATGTTTTTGTTTAAATAGAAGTGTTAAACACCTGAGTGGATGGCTGTATACAATACACATAAATTACTTCATGGTTATCTTTTAGTAGACTGCATGGATAAAATTAGTTTTAATTTAGGTTTATCGTGTTTCAACCAAACCTGCTAATTATTTAACTACACTTCCAGTATATTTTTATTTATATTAGCTGACAAGAAAATCTCAAGTAATTTTTCAGTGTACAATTACAATGTTAATCACAACAGGTTTTCTCTATGTAGGCAGCCACATTGGATCTCTGTGTTTTACCATAGACTTGGACACAGTCATCCATTGCCTCGGTTTATTTCATTATTAGCTGCTTTGTCCAATAAGAGTCATCAGCAGATCAATGGTGTAATTGACATTGCATTACCAATTGTCAGACTCCTGACTATCTCTGAGTCAAATGCAGAGCCATACAGACTTTGACATCTCCCTTATAATTCAATGTCTATATTGCTCTAAATGCTATTAAATACTGAAATTTGAGATTAAGATCCAGGGTTTCTCATTTCTCTTAAACTTTACTCACAAAAATGTGTCCCGGGCTCTTAAAGCTGCCCACTGTTCACTTTGGTGATGGGTTAAAAACAGAGGTCACATTTGGTTGTGTGCAGTGGTGTGCTGTGTCACTATGATAAGTAGTTCACTTTCCTTTTTCCGGCCATTATTGTTGACTGGTAGCACGGCATCGATCATTGAAGGCTCATTACATTTTCAAAATAAAACATCTTTTCATGATTCTTTCTCTTTTTGAATCAAGTAAATTAGTAAAATGAAGTACATTTTTTTCTCTGTGTCCCACTGCGGCCTGCTATCAAATGACCTACTTACAGGTACCGGTCTGCAAGCCTGGGGTAGGGGACCCCTGTTTGATATGGTCAATGGTCTTTTCTTCACTCACTTTGCCTACATTGTAAACCTTTTTAAGCTGTATTTATACGTGTCACATGTTTTTCTATATCTATTTCCCATACCTGTATGGGACTAGAGAGGGGAGGCCACCTGTCATTTGCAGCCCTAATGCCTACCTGAACAAACGGGCAGCTACCGCTTGCAAATAAAGGGAATTCCTCTACATCCTTTACTTTCCTTTCCTATTACAACAGTTAATAAAAGCAGCCGACACTGTGTTTCCATTTCCAGCCGTCACTAAATAGACATCGCAGAGTGGCCCTGATGGAGCGGCACTCGAGTGCCCTCTGCAACTTTGCCAGGCCATTTATAGTCTGTGGCTTTGAGTAGCAATCACAGCAGTAATTATCAGAGGCTAACTGCAGGCTCTGTGTCTCAACAGTGGCTGACCGCTGCCGAGGCTGACTAGAAGGGTCTCAGTGCCAGGAGTTTATGTGTATGTGTGTGTGCAGCTATGGGCAAGGACTACTACAAAACCCTGGGTATACCCAAGGGCTCCAACGAGGAGGAGATCAAGAAGGCCTACAGACGCATGGCCCTGCGCTTTCATCCAGACAAGAACAAGGATGCTAACGCAGAGGAGAAGTTCAAGGAGATCGCAGAGGCCTACGAGGTACTGAGTGACCCCAAGAAGAGGGTTGTCTACGATCAGCTAGGAGAGGAAGGTGAGAGAAGGGGTTAAATGCCTGGTGTCGATCCAGACTGAAAGCAGGCTGCAGCACACAGTCGCTACAGCCCTGTTAAACAGTCGTTATGATGGATTTAGATGTAATTGAAATAGCTCATGACCACACTCTGGCATCTAATATCACACTGATGGATGAAGGTGAACTTCATCTGCTCTAAACTCATTAGTGTGGCTGTCTATTGTTAACTTTTCTTATCAAACATAAAAGTCAGTTTTAAACATCCTTCAGTCTGCTGTTGACACATGCTGTATATTGATGAGTGAATCTGCATGTTAACAGTGGTGACTGGTTGTATTTGTAACACTGTAGTGTGAGGTTTGTGTGGGTGTGTGTTGGCTCACACAGCAATGACTTGAGATTATCATGTGATGGAGGTAGAATATCTGTGATGGTGCAGTTCACATTAGACAGTGTTTTTTGCACATAGATGCTGAAAATGTCATGTTTTGTGCATGTGTTTTGGGAGGACTAACCTGGACCAGATGATGATGATGATAATGATAATGGTGACTTGTATTTCATCTGCCTTTATCTGCCATGTCCCTCAACTCTATTATCTTTTTCCAACATATGTTCATATGGAGACAGAGTCTCCACCTGTCTGACTCTGACTCCCTCTCCAAATTACTTGGGCTTAACTGTGCATCTCATCGACTGCTTTCTATTCCTGTCCATCTCGACCTCTGCCAATAAGAAAAGTCAGCATCATCAACTCTGACACCTCCATCTCAGACTGCTGTCTTTTAGTCACTGTCAATGCTTTCAATCCATACATCAGTTATTCAACTTCCCCCTAACTCTTGCTGCATCCATTAAACGTGCTACTCAGATTTCTCTTCCCTTTTTGTGTGCTGTGCTGTTTCTTTGGTTCAAGCTTCACCTTCACTACCTCCAGACCTGGCATCAGTCTTTTCACCTGCCTTGATCCCTTTCTTCCACTGATAGTCATTTTTGGTGGAGTAGCGAAAAGTCTTCAGTAAACCATAGTCGTTCCTCCCAGTGCAGGTTGCTGCTAATGTGTCTGTGTGTTTGCACATAAATCCTCATAATCTTCTCTGTTCTGTCAACCTTAGGATTGAAGACTGGAGGCAGCACCACCTCAGGTGCTCCTGGCAGCACCACACACCACTACACCTTCCATGGAGACCCCCATGCCACCTTCGCCTCCTTCTTTGGAGGCTCTAACCCTTTCGACATGTTCTTTGGCTCCAACCGAAACCACAGTCGCTCAAACGGCTTTTCCTTCCACAACGACCACAGCAATGACACGGAGCAGGACATGGACATGGATGACGATGATCCCTTCACTCACTTTGGAAGGCAGTTTGGCTTTCCTGGAGGAATGAGCAATGGCTTCCATGGGGATGGACGCAGGAGAAGAGGGATGCCATCTGAGAGCCTGTCCAACAACAGGAAACACCAAGATCCTCCTGTGGTCCACGAACTGAAGGTCTCACTGGAAGAGATCTTCCATGGCTGCACCAAGCGCATGAAAATCACCCGCCGCAAATTGAATCCAGATGGGCGGAGCATGAGGACTGAGGATAAAATCCTAAATATAGTCATTAAGAAGGGCTGGAAAGAAGGGACTAAGATTACTTTTCCAAAGGAAGGGGACGAGACCCCGGAGAACATTCCTGCAGACATAGCCTTTGTACTCAAAGACAAAGGACACGTCCACTTCAAGAGAGATGGTTCCAATATAATTTTCAGCTGCAAGATCAGTCTAAAAGAGGTACGTAGGTCTATTGTTTTACCTAACATCTGACTTTTTCTTTACTCCTGTCATCTATCCATCTCTCCTCCTAATGTTAGTTCTGCTGAAGACTGCATTAGAAACAGAGTCACACAGATGCAAATTAAAACCCTATTTCTGAGTCTTAACGTTCGGTGCTTGATTGGTCTGGTACATTGTGCTCTGCATAAACCAGGTAGGATCGTCTGCATTTAGTTAGATCTTAGTCATATTGAGTCAGACTCAGACACACATTTGCAGCTTCATTTGTTTTAATATCTATAACAAAAAATACTCACAGCATGTCTCGATTTATAAATCAACTGAGAAATAGCAGATAGATATTCTCAAAGACTCTCTAGAGTCCTAAAATACAGTACTATGTGGGTTCAATGGTACTTCAGGGTTGAAAATCTCTGGCCTGTCTTTGGGAACCTTTACTGTCTGTTTGTCTTTCTTTGTTTGTTTCACAAACCCAAGATAATCCCATAAAGATTGCCACTCACACTCGGCTGGCTGCATTTTTGCAGCCATTGCACACTTTTGTGTTTCATTGTCACTTTTGTTTTGTTGTACTACAAAAAGAACTAGGCAACTACATTGATTTCTTATTTACAGTTCACTGCTTCTGCATGTAGATTTGCAGATAACACTGTTGGTTTTTAAATGAGTGACCAACCAGGGCAGAAAATGAAAACAAAAAATGGATAAACAAACAGCTAAGTGACTTCCTTTTAGCTTCTGTCTTGTCTATAACCATAGCCAAGAGGCATGGAGGTGAAAGAATATTTTCTTTACAAAAGGGTTCAGAAGGGTGGGCACAGGGTGGGCAGTGACACTCAGATTGGTGAGTGTGTGCTTGTTTGTTCCTAGAGGTTAAGATAAGTGGGAGGCCAATCGTTGTCACTGTGGTGTGAGTCAGCAGGCATGTGGTGTCCTTGTGGGACCGGCCCTGAGCTGATGTCCTCAGTTGTTCTGCTCTGCTGTATAAATACAGACACATCCACATACACACAGGCAGGCAGGTACACATTAAGCCACACATGAGCAAACACAACCTTACATGCTCTAACAAATTCACTCACACTCAGTTAAAGATGGATTGTGCTCTGAAGGTGGTGACAAACCAGGCCGTTACTATTTTGACTGGCAGAACATTTAATTAGCAGCTCCTGCAGGGGCGCCGGGTCTAACTGTGCCCCACTGTGCTCCGTCTGTAAATTACACAGGCCTTAATGCCTCCAATAGCACTTCCACTCACTGTTCTGGTCTGCCCCTCACACGGTCGCCTTGATGGCAGGTGTTCTCTAAGAGTTTCAGATGAGGAGTTGTTTGTGCGGGCTGTCCTGAACAGTGTGCATTTGAACGCAGCAGTGACTTGGAAACATGGAGTCTGAACACTGCAGGATCATAAAGACACCGAGTTAATAAAACCTCATCCAACTCTCCATGGTCACATTTTGCTGGACTTCATGAAAATATCCTGCAAGGTTTATCATGGTGGTGAAATAACAATTCACAACATTTGTGTTACGGTGCACCTTTCAAGAGATTTTTTTTTAAACATATTTAATCATCCAGAACCATGTTTAACTTGGTATTGATCTGTTGTTACTATTAAAACGTGATTGTTGTTTTTGTTAATTAACAGTTTAATTTTGATGTCATTCTTGTAAATGATCTCATTTACAGCAGAAATGTAGATGAGAAAAATACAAGAGATGACATAAATAAATAGAACTGAAGAATAAATTACAATTATAATAATTGTTCTATTAAAAACACTGGAAATCACTGATGAAGAACAGGAGGTCAGGAAAATATTTACCAGGGTTAGAAATATATTGAATAATGTCACAAATATTCGAAAAACACTCAAATCCAATTATATGTATAAAATGTATGTATAAAAATATGTAAGCTCAGATAAATAATTCTATTAAATCCAAGATGAAAAGATGATTATATTTAATCACCCTTAGAACATGCAGCGATTTAGGGTAATTTAAAAATACATCATCAGGTCTGGATATTGACAAGTTAGACGTCAGTTTCATGGATAAATGCACTTTATTGCAATAAATGTTAATTTTGTATCTGCATTAAATTTGGGTTTGCTCTGCAGAACTCCCACACCTCAGCCCCTGCACTCTGACAGGAGACGAATGTCTAATGCAGCCAAAAACACTGTGTGGAGAGACTTAAAAATGTGGAAGGGGGAGGGAGTAGTCTCCCGGGAATATTAAAGAAGTGGGTCAGATGATGCAGTACACAAAGCAAATAAGAGTTTATATACCACTGCTCTACTCTCATTTGCTCCCCTGAAATACTGCAGTAAAGCTCATCCCCAGCTACAGGCTGCACACTGCACAGCCTGACACATACTGCACAGTGTATGGGAATGTTATGCAACAGTGGATGTGTGTTGGCCCAAAGTATGATTATATCCAGTGACCTACCTCAGTTTTCTAAGTTTATTTACATTTGAAAATACGTGTATTATGCATCACCCCTGTGCTGTTTGGACGCTCAGTTTATTTTTCCTGCATAAAGCATGCCTTTAGCAAACATCTTCGTTTAGCATCTCTGTGTTTCTCTGAGCATTGTGTAAACTCCAGGGAAACACTGCCAGAGGCATCACCAGCCGTGCAGTGACATCACTGTGACAGCAGACAAGCACTGGTGGGGGAACATAGTGTGACTCTGACACATGGATATGTGTAACAGTGCCCTGTACCTGGACATGACTGAATGACTGACTGCTTATTGTTCCACTTGAATGTATACCATTGCTCACCTTGACATTAATGATGCTTCCACAGTGTCTCAAATCATGTTTGGCTGCACATTTCCACAGCTCCTGTCACATCTGCTCTCGGCTCAACATTAAAACCCAAACTCAAAACACACACAGGTGCTAACTGTAGCTGCTGTGCTCCAAAGTCTTTTACAACTACCTCTACCAGCAGACTATTATCATTTATGAAGCAAAAACACATTTGATGTCAGATCTGTGGGAGTCATTCTCATATGTGCATTTCAAACAGATAACATTAGGATTCTGTGTGATATCTCAGGAATTGAGATGGTATAGACTGAATCATTGTGGTAGGACACTTTGAGTCCTTCCTTAATGTAAAATGCAAAATGCCAGGCACCTAAATACACACCTATATTTATTTAGAAAACACTTTTGATATTTTGAATTAATTCAACAAAATCGAAGCAGAGCACTGAGCTGATTATTATGCAACCAGTTGGTCTTCAGACCAGCTGGCAGTGTGTGGTGCATCATGGCAACTGTTTCTGTGTGTAAGACCTGTGTGAGTGAATGGAAGTGTTCATTACACAGGGATGCGACACAAGTGTGTACATCACAGTCATCGGCTAAATACAGCACACACATCATATATAAATCCATGCAGCCTCATGGTAAGCTAACAGACTCCTGTTTCCAAACCTGAATTGTTTCCCTGATCCTGTTGAACTGTCCCAGCCATTAATCACAAACTCTATTCATTTGAATGTGCTGCCACCCCTGGGCTAAATTATCTATGATCCTATAAATGAGAACTTAATTTCCCAAATTGAAGGGGATCTTAAACTTTCACTGAAATGTTTACTGGTGAAATAAATCATCTGAGCAGCAACCTCATATTAAACAAGTGAGACACTTTCTGGTGCTTTATTGCTACTTTTATTGGCTCCATCCATCTCTGGCTAAATCACCCCCAAATGTATAGAGCAGTGTAAAGTGAAAATAATGTCCGGGATGGAAAAGCCTACAGCAGCTGCCCTAATTGACCGCAGTCTAACTGTGGACATGTCCAACCTTGTTTGTTTAAAAGCTCCAGACATGAAAATCCCCTACATGAGACATGAAAATCCCCTACAACTCTGCACACATTTCACCACAGAGGGGGGTCTTAGGAGTGAAGTACTTTCCAGTGTAGACCAAATGGCCATTACATCATAGAGTTCTTATTGCCTTGAGTTAAAAAAAAGTAAAAGTTACCATGTTGTAATTATGGAAAATCATACTGGTAATATTTTGGACCTTAACATCACTAAAATGTCTCAGTCAGCAGCTATATTAAAATGCTCACTTATTAGCAGTGTAGTAGCTGCTGAATGAGACTCAGCTTTATTTTAATCATCCAACCTGTTCTCCTATTTTTAGGGTTGTCCAATATTAACTTTTTGCCAATATCCAACGTGTCGATATTGTCCAAACACATTTTTATTCCAATATCAACCGATACCATATAGCAGGGCAGTGGTGGCCTGGTGGTTGAGGAAGTTGAAACCAATAACAATGCTAGTAGATTTTACGTAATTATGCTAATAGCGGGGCGCTAATATCAGTCGGCTGATATTATCTTTCTTTCTTTCCATTTTCTTTATTTCTTTATTCCCTTCATCACATTTTTTACAGTTTTCATTCTCTGGTCTAATTCCTGCGATAAACCATTTTGTAACAGTCCCTGCTTAGAAATGCATCGTGAAGGAGAGTTATTTATTCATTACCCAGCTGTTCATTCACATTTGTGGGTTAAAATAAATCTTTTGTTTCACTGTGAATGTAGCGACCAATGCTGAGTGGATAGGACGTCTGTGGAGTTGTTATAACGGCAGGTTCACACATGAGGCTCAGTTCTATTTACACTCTGGGTTCATTCAGTGTGGTGTTAAAGGGGTGAGGAAGATGTGCGTGTTATTTGTTGCTCAGATTTAGAAAAAAATATATTATAGGATTACATTTAGAGTTAAAAAAAAAGTATCATCTTAATGAACTGAACTGTGCTGCACCTGTGGTGGTCAATGATGTCTGACATCCTGTCAGTTATTTTAACCTGTCTTTCGTTAACTTATTTTTTCTTGTACCAGACCGTAATTTACACACTTAAGATAATGGTTTGTTAGGACAATTGTGTAATTGAATCACTCAGTTCTTCAGCATTAATTAACAAAACACTTGTTATCCAGTGTTATCCTCAGGGCCTCTGTCCATGTTCTGGTCCACAGTCTACTGTAAAAGCTGTGGCTCTAAGGACATTCTGACAGTGGGTGAAACATTTTTAGCTGGTTCTCAGAACCTGAATGAGTTGAAGGGAGTTTGGAAATACATTATGTCTCACCGACTGTGTTATACATGATCTCACAACTATAGAGAGGCATGTGGTCATGATGCACCAGTGCATGTGTGTGGACTCAGGGTGTTCTCCCTGTTGGTCTGCCTATTTGACAGGCTCTCCAAGTATTTACGAGCTCAGCCAATTCCTGTCTCACTTCATTAGCTGCAGCTATGAGGTGGCTGCTAAATTTAGTACTCGCTGCATTTGTATCCTCTTCCAACACACGCACACACACATGCACACACTCACGAATAGAGACACAATTCCCCCACCCCCACCTACACACACAGACCGGAAAACCTTTTTACTGCCAAGACTTGTTTCCCTAATACTGCTGGTCCAAAACTGACTCTGTAGGCCCTTCAGTGTTGTAGTTTATAGTGGCACTCTGTCAGGAAGACCTGCTTTCTCCTCTTTTCTCACGCAAAGGTGATGAACACACACACTTATATACACACACACACACATAACACAGAGGTGACGTTCTGAGGTCAGATCAAATAAAGATTTAAGTTCAGGAAAAACTACGTCATAGTGAAAGTCATGGCTTTGGAATTTCATCCCTAATAAAGATTTTGAACCCCTCTCTCTTTCTCTCTCTCTCTCTTTCTTTCTCTTTCTTTCTCTCTCTCTCTTCACCTTTCCCCTATTCTCTTCTTCAGGCTTTGTGTGGCTGTACAGTTAACATTCCTACTCTGGAAAACCGCATCATCTCCCTTCCCTGTCATGATATCATCAAGCCCGGCACGGTGAAGCGAATCAGAGGGGAAGGTCTGCCGTTTCCTAAGAACCCTTTACAGCGAGGTGACCTCATCGTGGAGTTTTCAGTCCGTTTTCCAGACAGAATCCCCCCACAGTCCAAAGAAATTATCAGACAACACCTCCCCCAGTCATAGGGGGGCTCACCTCTGCCACCAACACACCCCGCAGCCTAAACTCAGAAAAGGAAACAGTCTCCCCTCAAGTTAGCCCCTTACTGAAGTCGTCTGTCCTGTGTTTTGTGTTGACACACCGCATTCAAGAGAAGCTGTCGAGGACATCACAGAAGGAGGACGATGGAAGAACAGCAACACAAAACTGTATCAGGACCGAACTGTTTGTCTTTGTCACGGCTCCTGGCCCAAGCACACACACACCTTTGAGCCGTGCAGAGAAGCCGATAACGTGCTCAGCATGGTTGTGGCTTAAACTGGAAATTTTCTTATTTGTGTTTTTATAGCTCAGTCGGTGGTTTTATACGACCATCAACCGTCTGACTCCCATCTCTTTGTAATACGATGAATGGTACGACAAAGTTTTGCTTGTTTTTTTAAAAAAGAAATTTCTTCTTTGAGTGTGTGAATCCCAATTTAAACATAAGGCTCATAACTTATCCCACTGTCACCTGTTTTTCCTCCTCCTTTGGTCTAATAAACCATAGTGAGCAGACATTTAGTGTTTAATCAGACCCATCACCATCACTGCATACCATACAAGCAAGTCTAGGCTGCACTGGAAAATCTGAGAATGACAATCACATACTGTAACAGCAGTGTAAGTCTGGAGAAGACAGTCAAATGGGTGCTTCCCCTTCTGAGCTGCAAGGCCTCTCTGAACCAGAGGGCCCAGCTCCATATTTGAGGAATATGTTGGTGCCTTAGCCCTGAATAATACCACACACATGAACACACTGAACGCTAGGGTGTCATCTATAATACCAGCTGTGTCAAGTGCACAATAAAAGAAAACCTCACCTGATGCTGTGTTAGATTCGACCAAGGCTGCTGAATCAAGCAATGTTGAGTCAATGGCCATATATTACTGTATGTGAGCATGGATGGATATCAGGGGGATCTGAATGTTGCCAATACATTCTTGTGAAGTGTCCCACAAATACAGATTGTAAAGTTTGAAATGGGTTGAATCCAGCTCTGTTCTGTACGGTGCTACTGTGGGCCACAGCAAAATAGACCAACATTGTGTCTACTTTTTGTTTTATGAGTCTCCTTTTTAGATCTCAGTAGATTTATAGTCTGTTGGATTGGTGCATCAATTTTGCGTCCGTGTTCCCGGGCAGAAAACTATTCTGCAGCCACTACGCCACCGTGTGGCTCAAATAGAAAACGCATTTCAAAGGATTAGGTTTTCAAATACAGCAGCAGTTGTTTGCCTCAGCTGCAAGGAGCTCTGGGAGCTTTTCTACTGTACTTAACGTAGTTTGTGTGACTTATGTGTGTGCGTGTGAGTGTGCGAGATGTGTGTGTTTAATCAGGAGGGCATGAAAAAAGTCAATGTATTATTTTATGGGATCAGCCAATAGTGACACTTCAGCATCACTTGACAAAATGCACTTTTGTATCATAAAAGATCGTAATTGTATCAAAACACGATGGAGACACTTGAACAACAGCGTGTCTGACTGTCCTGCCTCTCACAGCCATAAAGGACCGGACGTGGCTACAACCTGATTACACATGTGCTGCTGCTGCTGCTGCTGCAAAAGCCTCAGTGTCATTCTTTCTGTGCATCTGATAATATTTATGATTTTTTTTTTTCAGGATGTAAAACGAATAAAATGAATGTGTGAAATGAACGGTTTCTGTCATGTATCCTTCAGGTTTGACTTCATCAACGTCATAATTCTTCATAATGGATGTGATGTCAAGTTTTTACCATATGACAGTATGACTATTTTGAACAGTGAAAATGTGTTATTGTATTTTGTACTTCTTTTTCACCTTATGGGTTTAGCGCTGCCATCTGCAGGCGAACGGTCGTAAAAACGGTAATATACTACCGTGTGATATTAATTCTTCTTTTTCTTTCGGCTTTGTCCCTTTTTTCAGGGGTTGCCACAGTGAATCATTGATTTCCATCTCTCCCTGTTCTCTGCATCTTCCACTCTGACTCCAACTATCTGGATGTCCTCCCTCACTGCATCCATATATCTCCTCTTTGACCTTCCTCTTTGTCTCCTACCTGGTAGCTCCATCTCAAACATTCTTCTACCAATGTATCCACTGTCCCTCCTCTGCACATGTCCAAACCATCTCAATCTGGCTTCTCTAGCTTTTTCTCCAAACCTTCCTGTCTGTGTTGTCCCTCTAACGAC